CGTCATAATGGGTAAAACATCAATCCATCTGTGACGTCACCTATTTGTAAGTATGCTGCTTAGCAATCGGCTAAGTTGGAGATGATTAGTCTCTCCCCTAAACATTAGTTTTGTCGTTAAATATAGGATAACGACGATGGATATTAAGTTATGTTTGATATTCGTGGTAATACTGAGCGCCGTGCATCAAGGTTCTACTGTTTACCGGGACCTTACGTGGTAAGTTAATTTTTTATTCGTTCATGATACGTACATACGTCGCGGTACTCTGAAAAATGTCAAAAACATTTCCAAGTTAACCACCACCGGGTACCGTAACATGACTGTTGATTCGGCTATAATGTATCATCACTACCGGGTACCGTAAGAAGACCGTTGATTCGCCTATAATGTATCATCACCTACGGGTACCGTAACATGAATGTTGATTCGCCTATATTCTATCCTCACAACCGGGTACCGTAATAGGACTTTTGATTAGCCTATATTCTATCACCACCACCGGGTACCGTAACAGGACCTTCGATTCGCCTATCGCACACAAAAATCCGTCATTCAAAATACGAAACATCCTTAAATACGTCAACCCCAAACATGCACAATCACACAAAACAAACGAATTCCGAAAGTCACATGATTTTTCCAAGACAGTGACAATAGCGCAACGTCATAATGGGTAAAACATCAATCCATCTGTGACGTCACCTATTTGTAAGTATGCTGCTTAGCAATCGGCTAAGTTGGAGATGATTAGTCTCTCCCCTAAACATTAGTTTTGTCGTTAAATATAGGATAACGACGATGGATATTAAGTTATGTTTGATATTCGTGGTAATACTGAGCGCCGTGCATCAAGGTTCTACTGTTTACCGGGACCTTACGTGGTAAGTTAATTTTTCATTCGTTCATGATACGTACGTACGTTGCGGTACTCTGAAAAATGTCAAAAACATTTCCAAGTTAACCACCACCGGGTACCGTAATAGGACCTTCGATTCGCCTATCGCACACAAAGATCCGTCATTCAAAATACGAAACATCCTTAAATACGGCAGCCCCAAACATGCACAATCACACAAAACAAACGAATTCCGAAAGTCATATGATTTTTCCAAGACAGTGACAATAGCGTAACGTCATAATGGGTAAAACATCAATCCATCTGTGACGTCACCTATTTGTAAGTATGCTGCTTAGCAATCGGCTAAGTTGGAGATGATTAGTCTCTCCCCTAAACATTAGTTTTGTCGTTAAATATAGGATAACGACGATGGATATTAAGTTATGTTTGATATTCGTGGTAATACTGAGCGCCGTGCATCAAGGTTCTACTGTTTACCGGGACCTTACGTGGTAAGTTAATTTTTTATTCGTTCATGATACGTACATACGTCGCGGTACTCTGAAAAATGTCAAAAACATTTCCAAGTTAACCACCACCGGGTACCGTAATAGGACCTTCGATTCGCCTATCGCACACAAAGATCCGTCATTCAAAATACGAAACATCCTCAAATGCGGCAGCCCTAAAATCATGCACAATCACACAAAACAAACGAATTCCGGTACAAGACAGTGACAATAGCTGCAACGTCATAATGGGTAAAACATCAATCCATCTGTGACGTCACCTATTTGTAAGTATGCTGCTTAGCAATCGGCTAAGTTGGAGATGATTAGTCTCTCCCTTAAACATTAGTTTTGTCGTTAAATATAGGATAACGACGATGGATATTAAGTCATGTTTGATATTCGTGGTAATACTGAGCGCCGTGCATCAAGGTTCTACTGTTTACCGGGACCTTACGTGGTAAGTTAATTTTTTATTCGTTCATGATACGTACGTACGTCGCGGTACTCTGAAAAATGTCAAAAATATTTCCAAGTTAACCACCACCGGGTACCGTAATAGGACCTTCGATTCGCCTATCGCACACAAAGATCCGTCATTCAAAATACGAAACATCCTTAAATACGGCAGCCCCAAACATGCACAATCACACAAAACAAACGAATTCCGAAAGTCACATGATTTTTCCAAGACAGTGACAATAGCGTAACGTCATAATGGGTAAAACATCAATCCATCTGTGACGTCACCTATTTGTAAGTATTCTGCTTAGCAATCGGCTAAGTTGGAGATGATTAGTCTCTCCCCTAAACATTAGTTTTGTCGTTAAATATAGGATAACGACGATGGATATTAAATTATGTTTGATATTCGTGGTAATACTGAGCGCCGTGCATCAAGGTTCTACTGTTTACCGGGACCTTACGTGGTAAGTTAATTTTTTATTCGTTCATGATACGTACGTACGTCGCGGTACTCTGAAAAATGTCAAAAACATTTCCAAGTTAACCACCACCGGGTACCGTAATAGGACCTTCGATTCGCCTATCGCACACAAAGATCCGTCATTCAAAATACGAAACATCCTCAAATGCGGCAGCCCTAAAATATGCACAATCACACAAAACAAACGAATTCCGAAAGTCACATTTTTTTTCCAAGACAGTGACAATAGCGCAACGTCATAATGGGTAAAACATCAATCCATCTGTGACGTCACCTATTTGTAAGTATGCTGCTTAGCAATCGGCTAAGTTGGAGATGATTAGTCTCTCCCCTAAACATTAGTTTTGTCGTTAAATATAGGATAACGACGATGGATATTAAGTTATGTTTGATATTCGTGGTAATACTGAGCGCCGTGCATCAAGGTTCTACTGTTTACCGGGACCTTACGTGGTAAGTTAATTTTTTATTCGTTCATGATACGTACATACGTCGCGGTACTCTGAAAAATGTCAAAAACATTTCCAAGTTAACCACCATCGGGTACCGTAACATGACTGTTGATTCGGCTATAATGTATCATCACTACCGGGTACCGTAACATTACTGTTAATTCGCCTATACTGTATCACCAATACCGGGTACCGTAACATGACTGTTGATTCGCCTAAAGTGTATCACCACCACCGGGTACAATAACATGACTGTTTATTCGCCTAAAATGTATCACCACCACCGGGTACTATAAGAAGACCGTTGATTCGCCTATAATGTATCATCACCTACGGGTACCGTAACATGAATGTTGATTCGCCTATATTCTATCCTCAGAACCGGGTACCGTAACAGGACCTTTGATTCGCCTATATTCTATCCTCAGAACCGGGTACCGTAACAGGACCTTCGATTCGCCTATCGCACACAAAAATCCGTCATTCAAAATACGAAACATCCTTAAATACGTCAACCCCAAACATGCACAATCACACAAAACAAACGAAATCCGAAAGTCACATGCTTTTTCCAAGACAGTGACAATAGCGCAACGTCATAATGGGTAAAACATCAATCCATCTGTGACGTCACCTATTTGTAAGTATGCTGCTTAGCAATCGGCTAAGTTGGAGATGATTAGTCTCTCCCCTAAACATTAGTTTTGTCGTTAAATATAGGATAACGACGAAGGATATTAAGTTATGTTTGATATTCGTGGTAATACTGAGCGCCGTGCATCAAGGTTCTACTGTTTACCGGGACCTTACGTGGTAAGTTAATTTTCTATTCGTTCATGATACGTACATACGTCGCGGTACTCTGAAAAATTTCAAAAACATTTCCAAGTTAACCACCACCGGGTACCGTAACAGGACCTTCGATTCGCCTATCGCACACAAAGATCCGTCATTCAAAATACGAAACATCCTTAAATACGGCAGCCCCAAACATGCACAATCACACAAAACAAACGAATTCCGAAAGTCACATGATTTTTCCAAGACAGTGACAATAGCGCAACGTCATAATGGGTAAAACATCAATCCATCTGTGACGTCACCTATTTGTAAGTATGCTGCTTAGCAATCGGCTAAGTTGGAGATGATTAGTCTCTCTCCTAAACATTAGTTTTGTCGTTAAATATAGGATAACGACGATGGATATTAAGTTATGCTTGATATTCGTGGTAATACTGAGCGCCGTGCATCAAGGTTCTACTGTTTACCGGGACCTTACGTGGTAAGTTAATTTGTTAGATAGATATATTACGTGGGTTATTATAATGATAATAGTGTAATTACATATAGTGGGTATTTTAACACTGACAAAAGGGTTGTTATAATTGGTGCAGTTGCACTTATAACACGTAAGCTGTGTGATAAATGGTTTACATTTCATAAATCTAAATCGTGTCATGACAACACGAGAAAATACTCCTCTGCGGGATTGTGATTGACTGAATGTAACTGTTATTTCAATTGTGACGTCATAACTTAAACAGGTCAGAGGCAGTGCATTACAATCACTTGAGACCAAACGACGAAACGGCATAAAGTTTGTCTCTGGTCTTAAGACAGGTGTGACAGAAAAAAATGTTCGCTCCTTATATCTGTTTCTACACTTAAACCCGTGAAACGTGAATCACTTTAGTAACACAATAAATTGTATGACATTCGGCTTATCCAAGGTTACAAGATGAAATGGTTTGCTCAATATATGTATAAATTTGTACTGGTATTATATATGGTGGTTTTCAGTTACATAATAAAACACACAATAAGGTATAACTTACAAACGTATTTTCTTACTATAATTAGAGTCGATATAGTTACAAGGTACCTTTGTTGTAAATTTCCATCAACAACAACTTTAACCTATTATCGACTCAGTTATGGTCCATGGGATACAACTCTTACTGGTGCCTAATATTATATCTCATAAGCACTATGATAATTCTAAAATATTACAATATTACATTAGCGTCTACTATATGTTATTTATAGAAGAAATAAGTAATTTCCGTTTATAGGACGTAATATTATCCAAAAATAAACGGACAAAGTTGATCTAAAAATAGAAGTATTGAGTTACTATAAAACGCCTGGTCTGTGGCATTTCCCCGACATTTGAATGAAGGAATGAGATCGGTGTTTCTTCCGGAGCGATTTATATACTACTACTAAAAATAACTTATTACATCAATTCGCGCATGCGCATACAGCAGTTTCCGTTGGAGGTTCAAGCCCATTTGATAAAACACCCCGGAAATCGAGAACCAGAAAGGTACATATATGCGAAATTATGTCATATTTCGACCGAATTTCATTATAAATTATTTTATTTGAAACTACTGAAAGCGTTTGCAATAGTGAATGGTCTGTAAGTATTGTAAATATGGCATTACTTGCCAGCAAACATTGAGCCGAACCCCCTTATCAACTGACATCGAGAAAATGGCGGACATGACAATATCATCCGTCTTGTTACATTACCTGAAGATTTCTGTTATTTGTATATTCTGATGTGATTGCATATTTGATATATTACTTGTATGATTTCTGATATTCCCAAATCAACACAAAGGCGGCATTTATTTTCATGGAATGTAGAAAGATCAGCAACAGTTTAAAATACTATACATACGAATTTGATGCCTGTAGCCTCACCCTTTTTTGAGAATAATGACATACATGTGTTAGGTTCCAGTCATTTGTTTAATATATTTCAACACTTTTCAAGTAAAAAGCATATTGATATTTCCGCATGCAAGTGATAAGAATCGCTGCATTGCAAATATTCGGAGAATATTATGTCTACCCGGCTACAGACATTCTCTGATTCACAATGACTGCCATTACTCATAAAGTTGGAAATTGCAGGGAAAAAATAGTACCGATTTGTAAAAATATTGTTTCTAGAAGAATTTATAAACAATTAGTATAATTTAACTAACACATTTCAGAATTTTTGTGTCTCCGGAAAAGTAATATGCTCTCAATAATATCATTTGATATAATGAGCAAAAGGTGTCTCCATTGTCAAAGTCAGTTCTTTTTCAAACAGGAACTAATTGTAACTATTGATACTAATATTATACTTCCTATGCTGTTGAAGACATCATTATATCTATGTAATTCAGTTTAAGATATTTGTCTTTCAGACTTGCTGTTGAAGGATCTGGTCAAGTCATAATGCAAACAATCAAGTGTGTGGTTGTTGGTGATGGAGCTGTAGGTAAAACTTGCCTACTGATCTCCTACACAACAAATAAATTTCCTTCTGAATATGTTCCCACCGTAAGTACATATTTACTCAAATAGACCATGAAACTTCTGCTCACATCACATCATTGATCTTTTACTATTCCTATGGATGTGGTTTGCACACAATATGTTTTACAAACAACTATCATTTAACAGCATAATACAGTATTACGATAAAAGTTGCATCATAAGTTGATCTGTGCTCACTTAGTTTTCAATCTGTGTACCATATTTATCCACAAGAAAGTCCCTGTCCATGAATACCTCCCCCCACTTTGTTTTTGTAGAATAACCAATTTTGAAGCTGAAAGTACTTCACAAATGCAACCCCCCCCCCCCAACTTTAATACTTTTTTTTCTTTTCTCGATTTTTGACAAAATATAATCAGATCAAAGTTGATTAAATTGGCATAATACAAGATTAGTTTTGTACGTTACAAAATATTCTTAATGAAATTCCTTCAATACACATTTTCCAGGTGTTTGATAACTATGCAGTGACTGTAATGATTGGTGGAGAACCCTACACCCTGGGTCTGTTTGATACCGCTGGACAGGAAGACTACGACAGACTACGACCTCTGAGTTATCCACAAACAGATGTCTTTCTAGTGTGCTTTTCAGTAGTCTCTCCATCATCATTTGAAAATGTGAAAGAAAAGGTAAGCAACTGTTTGTTAAAACACTTTAATGTTTGACATATAACTTGAGAGTAATCTTGTAATGAAGATCGGTATTTGAGTGAAGAAAAGAAATCATATTATTTGGAACAAAAGCTAGATTTCCTGTGCTTGTCAGTTTTTTTTTTTTTTTGCACATATTCAAATTTATCATGACTGTTTGAAGAACTTTGGTAAACAGCAATCTTTTTTAGCAAATAGGTGTTCATTAGTGTTCATGTCTCAATCAATTTCAATTAAGATGTTAAGTATTTCATTGAATCAGGGATTTTTCAGACATTAACTCTTATTGTTTGTTTGTGAGTGCCCCTTGAAAAACATTGTCTTTTTCAGACAAATATTAAGATATTGGAACCATTCTGATCATTTGACATTTTTCGCCTTTGATGAGTTTCTTCATAAATTTTTAATCAATACCTACTATTTACAGTATCATGGCTTGATTACAGCAGTCAAGTGTTTCTTGAGAAAACATGACTTCCATCCGTTAGGACTATTTCAGCCTTTTATACCACTTCTATGTGAAATTTTTCATAAAAGTAAAAAAGGTGCGAAAGACTACTACAATTCTGTTATTAAACCAGTACCAACCCTTACTGGTATTTGAAAATGGAGTGATGAGTTTGACTTTGATGATCAGAAGTGGAATAATATATTAATAATTCCGTTCACTATTACAAAAAGTTCTAAGCTACAGTGGTTTCAAGTAAGGATTATACATCACATTCTGGTTACGAACTCCTTTCTTTTCAACATTAATCTAATTCCTAGCCCTTTATGTACACTGCGTAATATGGAAAGAGAAACAATCATTCACTGTCTATGGGAGTGTATAGAGGTACAGACTCTATTGGAGAAATTTGAATCTCTTCATGATATTCTTCTGATTCGTTTCTGGATAAACAAAGAAACATATTTATTTGGAATTATCCATCCTAATGCTAACACTGTAGATAACAAATTTTTAATTCTCATTAAACACTATGTTTATATGTCAAGATGTCTACAAAAATCTCCTGATTTAAATGCTCTTATAAATAAGATTAAGGATCATTTCCATGTTCAAAAGTACAACATTTCTAGCAAAAACACAATTATGAAAACAAATTTTGAGAATAATTGGAAAAAATGGATGCCCATTTTAGAACTAAAGTATGTATGCTAAGAAGTCTGTTCCCAATGGCAGTGGCCTTGACTTTACCAAACTGACTTTAAATTTATTTAATTTCCATTTTCGCTATTTTATTTGATAATGATTATAACCCTCCCAATTCTCTCTCTCTTGTTTTGTTTTTTATATGTTTTTGTATATATATATAAACTTATTCATAAGTGAGTATGTGTGTGTGAGGAAATATCTTTTATAAGTGTAAGTGATATGATATTGTATTTGTGTGTGGGAGTATTTTGTTAAGTACATGTAAGTTTGCTATGTGAGTGTAAGTGGGTGTGAATGTTGATAAGTGAGTTTGTGTGCAGGAAGAAGTAGATACATGTACATGATGATAAAGATGATGATGATGATATATGTATATGTGTAAGACATATTCAAGTAAGAGCACACAAGTGTGAGAATGTGTGTGTGTATGTTTTTGTATGGATTCTCTTGTATATTGTGTGTTGTGTAATATGTAAAAACTTGTCAAAAAATAAATGAATTACAGGGAAAAAAAAGAAATTGAAACTAGCTCTTGTGCATGCACTACACTTCTATAGTTCGATATTACTTAAATAGTCACTTATGACCTACATTGAAAGGGAAATGTATATAATTTCACAACATTGATACAGGGTATATCAAATCGCACTATAATACAGGTTTTTTGGTGGCTGACAATTGGCAGTGGTGCCAGTTTCCAACTGCAGTTATTCCCAAATTTTCGTATGTAACCTCTGAAAATTCCCATCCTAATTCTGATGCTAACCAAAATGAGGCAAAATAATCAAACATTTGTAATTATGGGATTATATTATTATATATCATACTATAAATATGTAATATTAATGATATAGTGTACTTGGACATGTATGCATTTTTGAAATGTCAGTGTCGGTTACCTACATATATAGCTTATTGATATTTTACTTTACAGTGGGTTCCAGAAATTACACATCATTGCCAGAAAACTCCTTTCTTACTGGTGGGAACACAATTAGATTTAAGAGATGATGCTACAACTATAGAAAAATTAGCCAAGAATAAACAGAAGCCTATTACAATTGAACAAGGAGAGAAACTTTCCCGAGAACTTAAAGCTGTGAAATATGTGGAATGTTCTGCCTTAACACAGGTGAGGGAAATGAAGCATGAATATATATATATGTGTGTTTACAGGAGGAAAATATAAAGTAAAAAGTCCACAGGTTCATATCAGGAAAGTGACTTTTGGACTTCTGTTAATTAAGATTGTTATGAACCTTAAACTTCCAAGTGATATTTTAAAAAGAAATCACAATTTTCTATTTATTTATTATTAGTTTATAAAACAGATTTAATGTCTACTCTTTCAGTAGATGAGGTGTTCTTTATATACATCTTGTTATCTTTATAACTATATAAGCCATGGTTCAGTCTGTTTTGCTGTTATGATAACCAAAGAAGTAAAATTGACCTGTGACAACCATGTTTTCAAATTTATTACAAATCTGTAGTATCAGATTTGTTGATGCTAATATCTAGTGATGGAATGTACAATGCAGAGACGTAAACCTAGAAAACAAACAATACTCCATCTCAGTTTTATCCTGTTAAAAGTATTGAGTTATTTACGCCTCATCCAGTAATGTTAGACACTTAATTTAGAATGATTTGTATTCAGTTCCAAAGTGTTTTAGTTGTGCACATTGCTTGTGTTAGTGAAACTTTATATCAGAATGTAGATTTTTACCTTCTTATCATTATTTACCTTGACAGTTTTCTTGTATTACCTATGCTGATCTGTTTTTTTTTTTTTTTAATTTCGATTCCCTTCCCCGCCCCCCCACCCAGAGTTTCCTTTTATGCCTGTTTGTAGATGGATATTATCATATTACAACTACGTCCCTGAAGCACTTGCATTAATGCACTTCTACTAGTAAAGTGTCCAGATGACAAGGATCGTCTTTTCAAAACCATCTGTTGATGAAAATGGCACACAAGAATGAGACTGTTGAATTAGGAGATGGAACTTCGGGGAGGGGGGTGGTGAGAGAGAGAAACACCCTTTGAGTGTCCAGCATTCTAAATGCTACCTAGAAATTGTGAAGTTAAGGAAAAGTAGTGTTTTACACCACAGAACATTTGTTATTTTGCCTTTTTCGTGGGTAAATGTCACATTTAAAAACATATACTCAAAGCTCGTCAACACATTTATAAACTGCATAACAGAATAACATATCTTCAAAGCTTATTGGTAGCTGGTGCCCAGACTCCCGTGGAATATTATCAATCTTTTGCTAAACTTGATGTAGTCTCCTCTCCAAATGAGTACTCTCATTATGGCCTATTGGTATGTCTTTGTAATATGTGGTTGCTTTTGCTATTTCAGAAAGGACTAAAGAATGTGTTTGATGAGGCTATTTTAGCAGCTCTCGAACCCCCAGAGCCACCAAAGAAGAAGAAGTGTGTGCTGTTATAGACATAACAAAGAAATAATTGCACTCAGAACTTTGAACTAAAAAAACAACAACTGCAGGAGCTGAGAGGTGACTGAAAAAAGACCACAAGCAACATGTCGTAGCATACAGTTTCTAAAAACGGTGTTGTTTTGAGAAGGTTCGTTCAGTAGATGTAACAGGCTTGTCCTGTTTCGGAACATGTAGGAAAGTTTATCTTTCGTAAGCACTGCAAGAGTCGAAATTGAAGCAATTAAGGCCATTTTAGACTTCTTCGTATTTGGAATTAAAGACTAATATAACTTAATCTTTTGCAGCAATTTTCTACATGAAGAAAAGAGTCTTTTCTGTTAAGTATTTAATACAAAGCCTGTTTTTGGCACTCCGTATTAAATAATCAAATTTTTTCTCAAAATGAAACATTTCAATCAAAAGATAAACTCTCTATGTGTGAACATTTACCTGAAATATGTCACTGCTGTGTTTGTATTAAACAATTTACATGTGTATCAACAGATTGTCCTATATAAAATTGTATTCTCAGAATTAAGAAAATCCCCGTTTGCATTTACAGTAACATATTATTAGACTACATGTTTTTGTGGAAGTAGACGTGTGTTTTCTTCTGTTTCATTGTCACAAGATCTTTTTTCCTATTAAATCAAGAGTTAGTGACATTTCATTATTAATTAAATTTTATTTGGTATTGATTTTTTGTCTGGAAATCACATTATATTCATATATATGCATGTTAAATACAGGTATTATATATATTACTAGATTCGTAGTAATACATGAATGTGTTAAAACTATATGGTGAAATTGTTCTACAAAGTATTTTTTGACATCGTTCTTTTCAACTCTTCTTTTACAAAATGCAAGCACTGTGTTACCTGTGGTAGTACATGTAGACAATTTTCCACAGTAATTTTACATACTTACGATAAGGATTTGCCTGTAGTGAAGACAAGTGCTATTACACACAGATACATTAGTCTGTATGTATATGTCTTCATATTGACTAAGTAAAATTGGCCTACAAATCTGATTCTGGTCTCAAATACAAAGAAAATTTCCCAATATTTATATTCTAAATGCACCAATTAGAAATGCAATACATGTTTGTTCTGTACATCTTCAAACTCAACAAAAAATTATACATCATTTGTATTCTGTGACAGGAATATTTCAAATGTTTCTATTGCCTTTGGAGTAAGAAAGAAAAATTTACATAAATGTTTTCGCTATATCTCTGTTATGTGTGTATTGCAAATGTCTTTCAATTTTGAAGACTGTAAGACTAGTAAGACCCATTCTAAAGAAAATTTATTTTTGTTTTGTACGTGAAAAATGATGGATCCAAGAATTCTTGAAATTTAATTTATAACTTAGTAGAGTTGCTTCATCAAAATCAGTAAGCTGCCAAAAATTTTGGGAGAAAGTCTGGCTTTGGACGTTGGCCACGTGGAGATAGGTAGTGTTAAAACTGTCATATGCTACATATGTGTAGACCAAAGCTTCCGTACGTGTTGTGTTATGATTGTATGTGCAAAAGGAGTGTGCAAGAAGAATTTGTATCATTATTATAAGTATTAAAAGATAAGGATGTCTTGAAAATTTAAGCGGCTTAATATGAAATTAAATAAACAAAGTTATTTTATATCCAAATATATAATGAATAGTTAATTTTATTTCATTTCTGATGTTTTCAGAAATATGGAAAAAATATTTTGCCATTATTTTAAGATCTTTGTTTTTTTTTTTTCACAAAAAAAATTGAATTCTGAGTTAAATAGTTACTTTAGAAGCAAGGGTAAAACATTCAAACAAGGGAGAGAACTTTCGTTATCCTGTCTTTTATGCTAGCTTGAATATAGTGTCGAAAGTTTTGATCATATTAATTATTTTACCACTTATAAAAAAAGCAATCACTTCGTCATATGAGAGGCCAATAGTTTATGTACTTTTATGAATATATTTTGACCACAGATATAGAGGGATCATAAATGTTTGTATTGTTAGAAGAGAAAGATATTAACAATTCAACAAATATACATTATCCGTGAAGCGTTTCCTGACGAGACAATTGCTGTTAACAAATTTACTTTAACAAAAAATATTATTAACCAAAATGTTAGTGAATTAATTCTGAAAATGTTAAGATGTATTGACATTTTAGACTAAAATGAATTTTTATTTAGAAATAAAAAAATTTCATTTTATACAGCAGTGGATTGTCAGTTTGTTGTAATAGATCTGAAAAAAAATTTGCAAAAACGTTGTTAATACTCATTAAATCCTTGTGTTTTACTGGAGTTAAGTTGGAATTAAATAAACAGGAAAACCCTTATATGAAGACTAAACAGAAGTTGTCAATATGCAGGATTACAACAGTGTAATTATATTCTTGTAAATATGTCATTGTAAATGTACACACATTTGTATAAACTTAGAAAGCTGAATAGACTTTAAAATAAGATTGTCAAGGTTTACCTGCCATTGTAACCATTTCTTTTTCACCCATGCTTTCAACATATCTTCAATTTGGTATCTATTGAGATATCTATTTTTCCTAATTGTAAAATGATCTTAAATTGTTCAATGTTTTAAAATTGATCAGTGTATAACATAGAATTGGCATTTGATTGGCTTATAATGTTGATATAGACTATCAGTGTTTACTTACAGGTAAATAATAGACTTTACCCCTGTAGCTTGTAATTTTCAAGATTATCCATGAAATAATTTTCTGTTTGCAGTATGGATCTGGTTTAATTGACAAAATTATGTACAAAATTACAATCTTTATTTTAAAATGGTACTTTCAACAAAACAGTGGTGACAGATATGTGTACTCACACTGCATAAAGCACCTGTTATATTGTTATTTTTTTTCTGGCAGAAAGTTTGAGTTTTGGAGTTATTTAACTTAATAAAATTGGTGTCAAAGAGGTGGTCACAATATTCTTCATAATTTGCATTTTCCTTCTTAAGTAGTACAACAAGTAAAGTCCTATTGTTCACTTGATGTGGAGTCTATTGTATATATTTCAATTGTTAGATAATATTATGTGTATGTAGAAAGCAACATATTGTATATACTTTTTTTTTCTGCCAGTTGCCGATTTGTAACTTTTATTTAATGTTATTGCAATACCGCTTATTCTTGTATACAACAAATGACACAGGAGTTGAGAAGAGTTTGACTTACAGACTTCCAAAAAAAAAACAGTACATGTATGTATATCGCAGACTAAATATCCGCTTGTTTTTGGACATCTTGCTTACAAATGTTAAATGGAAAGTTGATTGTGCCAAACCTGTCTCTGATTTTTGCCTCTCTCATTTCGCAATTGCTGTTAGAATGAGTCGTTGCATTTCTGTTGGAAGCACATATGGCTTTACTCTTGATTTAAGCGACACCTTTTCTGCTTAATGATCTTCAATATATTGGTATCAGATTTTATATTAAATAATACACTAATAGGAACGAAATTGTTTACTCTTCTGTTTTGTAAGGTTTTTTTTATGAAAGTGACTTTCATATAGATAAGTATCTTTTTGTCTGTAATCAATTATTTTTGCATGGCAGCCATGAAAATTTTCATTCAAAACTGGCTTTTTTCCTTTCCATTTTTAATTGAAAGAGATAAGAATCAATCAAGAACTCAAAGCATTGTAAACATTTTACTCATTAAGAATTTGTACATGTATAGAGAAGTACCGTAAGTCTGTGGTAATCTGACAATTAAAATTGACACTATTACTGTCTTCTCTTGTATTTTTTGCCTGAACTAGTATGAATACATAGAAATGGATAATAATGGTGGTACAAAATTACTTTAAAGTCATATTTAGTGAACTACGATATCCCAAGGTTATATTGGTAACATTGCACATGGGGCTGTGGTAGCTCAGATGGTGAGTTATTTCGGGCGAAGATCTGAGGTATTGATTAAACACTCCCGACCCTTGCTGGTTTGTTTATCACAGAAAGCAAAGAAACAGACTGGTCTTTGCTGTTATGGTTGCCCCTATGGCAAGAATCTGTATACTAATATTGCTCTGGCATACAATGGGCCTCCTGTATGTTGTTCAGTAATATAGCCACCAGCTACCACACAGAGCCCACCTCAGAATGACCTAGATTTTCAGGCAATACACCCAACATACAAACCAATACATATCAATTGTGGGCCACAGGAGGATTCAAATGTGCCGACAGTTAAAAACAGCAACATTTAACCATATTAGACCAAGGGTCATATTCTATCAATAAGGAAGGTCAAAAGGAGCTCAAAAGTATATTGAAGTTTTCTTATCAGCAATGAAAACATAAAGGAGCTTGTACTGCATAGTCTATCATGAACAGATATCCAGAAAGTCCATGAGGTGATATATGTTTTTCTTAGTTTAATATTAGTACTGCAGGATCCTTGACCTTGTACAGTGAAGACCGATTCTTTTTTTGGATTTGAAATTGCAAAGAAAAAATACAAGAATGCCATGACCCGTCATTGTCATTGGACAATCGCTGAATGGATGGACAAACCACAGAATTTGCTGATGATCGTCTGACAAGTCGGATGAATTGAAATTTTGATCATTCCTTGAAAGTATCAGAAATTCATAAATGGTAGGATCTGTTCATGAAAACAGTCGCACAATCATGTGAAGGATCACTTCATGCCATATCATTGCCACTCCCTGATAATGTTTCAGGCCAAATTTTGTTGAAAGCTAACCAGAAGTAGTGATTCAGAGCAAATATTGTTTAACTTCCCCTTTTAAGGCCTGCCCCAAAGTCCCTTGGGGTCAAATAAGCTTTCTGAATTTAAGAAATGATTCTCCATTGGCAATAATGTTTTGTACCACATTTTGTTTAAATCCATTCAGGGCTTAACGAAGAGTAATTTTTCTAGCAAAACTATTGACTAATTTTCCCATTTGGGGCCACGCCTCCAGTTCCTTAGGGGTCAAAACTGATGTCTCAGACCAAATTTGGTTGAAATCTGCTGAGGTCTTAAGAGGGAGTTTTAAAGGAAAAGTTTATGGACAGTGTACAGCAGATGATCAAAGATGATGCACAATAGTTATAGGTCAACTTTACTGTTTGGGTCAGATGAGTTAAAAAAAAAAGAACGGATTTCCTGATAGTTCTACTTTTGAAATAGAGTGACCTTGACCCTACAACTTTGGAATATGAATATGAAGTTGATCAAAATCCATGATGAAATGAAGCTGCTAGAGCAATGAAAATGTTTTATGAAAATAGCAGTGGTGGCCTTGGCCTTTAAACCCTGAAATTTGATGCTGTAGAAGATATGATAGCCCTTACTGTGTGAAATTTGATTGACATCCATCACAAAGAAGCTGGTACAGCACCAACAATGACAAGTGGTACGTACTAAAACCTCCTATATCCCCTCCCAACATTCAGCACTAGGGGATAAAAAGGTTCACCTCGCTGGCAGATCTAGATTGCAACCAGCTATTGCAGAAAGTCACATCAAGTCTTGAAAATCGAAACATCAATTGGGTTTGTTACTTGATTTACAGAAATGAGGACATCTATAAAGTTCTGCAGTCTACATACTTGGGACTATTTAATTATAACCCTGCATTATCAGATGGTGAGCTGCTTCTGTATGATCTCTATTTTACTTAACTTCATTAACAAATTATCCCTTGTTTGAAAAGAAGAGTTTGAACTTTTTCAAGCTTCACATTTCCTAGCTTCCATCATAGATGTACTTTTTCAATTTGATATTCATCATATAAACAAAAGCCATCATCCAGCTATCTTCGGATGAAGTTTGCTGTTTCTTTTTTTTCAGAGTTTTTTTGTATCTTTCTCAAATGTACATGTAGGTTTTCAATGGGCCCTAAATGCAACTGCAAATTTTTTAGATCAGTTGGAGAACAAACTGCCAATAGGTAATCATGTTGGATTTCTCTCAAAATCACTCAAACATTTTTTTCCGAACAACACAAGTTAAGCTATCAATTATACATAGAAACTTCTTTACAGACCTCTTCAAAACTCCATAAGTACCATGTAGGTTCCCTTTGCACACAAGATATGCATAAACAATATCAAAACAATTGGGAGAAACAATATGACTGACATGCTGCCATTTTGGACTTTCAAAGTGGAAGTTTGTTATCAATATTTATCATGAAACATTTCAGAAGTCTTTCTAAAATTTCATATGTTTTCTGTTGCTTTAGTCCTACATGTTGAATATTTAGATCAGATCAATGAAACAAAATACATTTGTTTGAACAAAAGAAGAAGGATTTAAAACTATTAAAGTCCAACAACAATTAAAATTTCAGAAAAACTTTTAATGGCAACTTCATCAAATCATTCAGTGAAATGAATTTGAATATCAACAAATGTTATGTATTTAATGCAACGACTAAGAAACATTTTTAATCTGTTTACAAGTGAAACATTATTATCAGTCTGGTGTACATCTATATATGCATAATGTCTGTGAAATGTAAATATAACCCAACCCCCTTCCCTTAAGTAACGTTATACTAAAGCATCTTCATTTCTAATGAATTCTCCAACATCTGCTTGATGAAATGCAACTAATGTCATGGGATCTGTGTGTCGACATTCCTGGGTTGACTTGGCTGCCACTCCAAAGCCCTACAAACAAAACCAAATTACACTGTTAGACTATAAGTCCATAGGTTTTTATGTTTGTATGGTTAATGCTATGCGATTATTCCTGGTATAACTTGTTTACCATAATGAAATTTTCATTGCTATTTCCCGTTTAACAATATAAGGAGAGTATATCTTTATATTGCTTTCCATGTTGGGACCTTTTATAAGGACTCTTAAGGATTGAATATGGGACCTGTTCGCAAATGAAATTATTTCATTTTCGAAAAAAAAAGAGGTCCCATCCTAAACCAGAGAAAAAAGCCTGCATACATACTGACATACCATATACATATTCTGGTTTTTATTTGGTTTCATATAATCTTTAATGACACAAAACAGCAAAATTAAATCTCAGAAATCATCACCGACTTCACTAGTAAGTGACAACAAGTAAACCTATGTAAAATAAAGTCAGAAATTTTGGATACAAGCAAATTACTGATAGAAAAGACATGATGATAGTTCAAATCAAGAAAGTCATACCCAACGACAAGAATCAAAGATCTTAATATCTTACCAATGGAAGATCATTCATGTTGTATACAACAACACCTTGGTACTGTGGTGTGTTTTCTGTGATTCTGCCGAGGCCTGACTTCATTACATGATGGCCATAGACAAACTGCTGCTCTGCACTCGGCTTAACCCAAACCTTGTACTGTCAGAGAAACAAAAATCTTGTTACATACCATGTATCATTATTGTAGTCTTGGACAAAAAAATAAATAAAAGATTACCTAAGAATATGAGTAAATTAAAAGGATTTAAAATCTACATGTTTATCTTAGTAACTCAGGGAGGCTTCAGCCCACATAGTGAAGTTAATAAATATCAATATTATGAGTAAGTCCTTCTAAACTTTTGTAAAATATCATAAAGAACATTTGTATATGGTAACTTTGATAAATCTATCTTATTTTCACTCCAAAAACTTGCTAAAAGTTTGTTTTGAATTTCAAGAATGTAATAGATTGTGTGAAATTGTTTTTAAGAACTAAAACAAATAATGTTTACAGGTCTAGCAATACTCTGTTGCAACTACATTCAAGCTACCATGAATCAAACCTCAATGATTAAAATTTTTCATGTATAAAATTTTTTGTGCTGTCCCAAATTTCAATTCTACATATATCTATATCATGTATTACTAACTTTATGAATCACAGCTTTGTAAATCTAACTACTTGCATGTACTGTACAAGTATCTATCTCGTGTCAGAATTTCACACATTTCAACAAAGGTTGCTACAGGACAAAGGGATTGCAACTGTGCACTGCTATTGACTGTGTTATGAGGTAAACTAATGCCTTGACACATTAAAGTTTGATTTCGTACTTACAAGCCAAAACATCAAATGAAAAGAGATATTCGGAATTTTACAAAGGCTGTTTCAGAAAGAAATGGACCTTGATGTCAAAATATGGACAATGATGTTACATCATGAACTGAAAATGATGAAACAAAATGGCTGCCTTCATTTGCTTTAGGTCCCCACATTTTCAATTTATAACATGTCAAAAATGTACTTTTTCTGAGAATATAAAGAACTTAAATTTGCATTCATTTCATATTAGATTTATGGCATACATCTTGAAGTATCAATTCTTATTTGCCAACGCTTATACATATATCAACCTCTAAAGCTCATTTTATCAAATCTCATTTGAATGAAAACTCATTTAACAGCCTTTAAATATTTTTCAATCTTTCACAAGCTTAAATAAGAGAAATAAGAACAACTGATTAAATTCCTACCTTAGCATAGGGAGCAAGAAAATCCAGAGCAGTAATATGCAATCTGAATTTTCCACCTTTGGAGAATCGTCCGAAGCATGATCCAAAACTTATGAGGTTTTTCCTTGAAACATTCCCAGCATGTTTCATCATGTCTTCTCTGTAGACAATAACAGGATAATATTAATTTTTCATTGATCATTTCCATCATGTTTTGTATACATGTAGATCTATAATACAATGATTTTTTAAATGTACATTCATTTGTTCAAACGACAGACCATTCAAATGACAGAAACATGCTACGCTATAAATTTTCTACTTTTACACCTAAAAGAGAATCATCCTATAGCTTGCTATCAGTGATGATATAAGGGTGGAAATGCATTGAAAATAATATATCATGTGTAAACACTGTCTCCACCAATTATCTTTATACTTCAGGTCAAATTAAAAATTTTCAAAAATGTTTTGTACTTTTATTTTGCTGTACTTTGTTTCAACATTACCTGACATAGAAAACCCTGTCTCTGTGTAACCTAAAACAATAAGACCCATCGGGACGATCTAGTAACAGCTTAATATTTTCACCAATGCTGAAACAGACAGAAAAAATATATTGAAAGAAGTGGTATAATTTGCTATTAATATTGATTCAAAAGTAACAGATCTGTTATAAAATGATGTTTGTTTCGAGCCTTTAAGAGACTTCTATTAATGATGTTTGTTGGAAATGAAGTATGACAAGAAAGAAATTGTGCACAAGATGAAAAAGTTTTCCAAGTTTCCTGAGCCATTACCTCCTTCCCTCACAGGTACTCGATTTTAACAGCACTTGGAAATAAACCACACACTAGCCATATAAAAACTAAGTGTGGTTTATTCATAAGTATTACTGAATTCGAGTTCACAAGTACTTGTGCATTTCATGAAACTGCTGTACGTGTCAGGTGTGTTTTTTTCGTTGTAAGAGTTATGTCACTTCAACCGTTAAAGTCAAGAAGTCTCAGTTTGTAAAATATGCCTATAACTTAAGGTTAATTTTCAGAACACATCCGTAAAGGTCCTCTTCGTCGGACTCCTGACTTTCTACGCGTGATAAATATTAGTGAGACTTCCATTATTCTTGTACAGCATCTCTGGATTTTTTCAGAATTTGTCCAGCCTGTTTTTTTAAGGAGTTTGTACTTTAAGCACACGACACTTGGTCTGGTATATTAGTTTATTCTATTTATGATTATACATATCGATTCTAAAGTAATTACAGTCCTCAACTATCTTTTTCTAGACTTAGTTAAACAGTTACTAGAATTATTGTAGTTATGATTTTTCTGCTCCGTTACTTGTGTTATATACGTCTCTGCATTCAGTGATATGTATATTTGATACAATTCGGTTTTCACACGCCGACAACATCTGAATTCATAAGTTGTTATATCGCTTTACTTACTATTTTGAAAGTTTTTCGAAAAAGATTTTCGTCTCTTCGTCTGTTAGCGGTCTCATCTCTAGGTTGTTTTCTTTCACGATACACCATGTGGATTTTGACCGGAAGTTCGGCGTGCGATATCCTGTTCAGTGGGCATGTGCGTTAAGCGTAATAAAAAATCAATGAAAACATCCGAGGTAGTCCGAATGTTGATCTGTTCGGTTGCTATGGTAAATGTGAAGCGAAATGGCGGTGTAAATAAATTCGACAAGCCCCTTGCAGACAACTGTGGGGCATTTTCTTACTCAGGAGACTACCTGGGAGATTAGAAGCATGATATGTTTGTAGGACTCCACCATAGAATTAAGAATGACTGCACAATCAGTCCTAACGAAGGGGAAGTTCCATGATTTTCCTTTTCGAAAGACTGTTCCAGCATCCCCAGGAAATGATTCAGATGTTGTTGGGAGTTCTCTAGGGGGGCGTGTCCCCATGTACATGGACGGTGCTGCCCCTGCTGTTATAAGACTAACACATACTGGTTCTAATAGCAAACCAACATCAGCTTATTCTACAATTTCTGCAAGAAATCATTTATTTGACATCAACGATACAATCGTTGTCCAAGAATCTCATCAGAATGGGATCATTGCTGGTCTCCATTCCGGCTCTAAAGCAACACAGAGTCACTCACAACCATTTATTTATTCAGAAAGATCATCGTCTAGAAACGGTATTATCGCTGCAAAACAATCACTATCACAGATCCAGGACAGTCGAGCATTAGATGTTGCTGATATTCATTCACTGTTAACCTCGGATGCTAACCGGAGACCATTGTCAAGACAACGGATAAACACACCCAAAGATATCAAACAGCCAGGTCTTGATCATGAATTCACAGATTTGGCAAGATGTAAAACCTCTGCATCAACTAGAAGTAACATCGGTTTAACTGATGAAACAGTTAATCGTACTTGCCCTTCAGGCAATTCAGATGAAGACGATAAAGATGAAGACAATGATGATCAAAATGAAGATAAAGACGATGTTGAAGACACCTTTCCTTTAAAAGGAAATCCCTATATGCAGGAACCAGATATAATTGTGAATGTGCCCAGTAAATCATCAACCAAAAAAGGTGTGTATAATTTCATTGTTACATATCATGACATTTCTATTGATCAACTAGATGTGACATGCCTGGCTTGCAAGTTTTCATACTCTACAAATTATTACGAAAAGATTAATTTTCCTGGAGCACAAGTTTCAGCACTTTTGTGAACAATTGATACTGTGGCTAAATAAAGCACATGAAATTCACTTTTCATAATTTTAACTGTTCACAAAAATCAATGAAAATAAACTTATTAAATTTATTTTTTTAAACAGTAATGTAGTGTTAGAGAAATTGCCTGTTCTCTGTAAGTGACTGCTATAAGGATCCTGGATTGGAAAACATGATGTTTACATTATTTATTATTTAGTTTTTCAATGTCTTACATGTAGAAACAAGCAATTTCTTAGTATACAAATAAATATCTTCATTTCAGGTAAAAAGAACAAAAAGAGATCCAAGTCTTCAATGAGTACAAAGATGAAAATCAAATTACAGGCTAGCAATAGACTTTATCAACAGGGTAAAATGAAGATACCACAAGCAACAAAAGTAAAATCAGAAAAGGAAACAAGTAACAAATCTTCCATGAATGATGGAGTATTATCAAATTTATCAAATGTTCTACAAGCTCAAAGTAAACCTATCACCTTAGTCAAACATGACCATGTTGTAAATTCATCATCAAAACAAACTCACAGGTCTGGTGCTATGTCAGAAATATTGAGACCGAAAATTGCTCAGATTGAAGCGTTAAAGTCTTTCAGCAAATCATCAGGAGGATCAAGAAGAGGGGGAACTGATTCCCAAACTTCTCAAAATAGATTGCCTCAAATGACAATAAATAATTTAGTGCAACAAAGCTCCAATCAAGAACCAAGCGTACACATGTCTGCTACTAGTGATTTACTTAGTACTCCAAAGTCATGTCTACACAATGAAAATCGTGTAACTTATTATCAGACATCTGTAAATGAAATTGCCAAAATTACCAAGGTGTATTTGTCTGAGAAACATTCTGGTACAATGAAGGACTGTGGAATGGAATACCCTTGTGCACCTCCTGCAACACCAACACCAGGTCAGTATGATACAACTATGATTAGTTAATTAAATAGAAAATAGTGAAATGATTCGCTTGACCATGATATAACAGATAACACTCTACCCCAACTTCAATTTTACCACCCCAGATATAGTTTTTGTTATATACATGTTTAAATGAATGAATCAGAGTATTTTTTTTTATGATAAAAAAAGTTTATCAGTAAGAAAATAGTGAAATGCTTCACGTTACTATGGTGATAGTGTAGTGAGGCCACTCTCCCCACCATCAATATTCTGACCCTTGATTTAATTATTTTTTTATATGGTATTGAGTCACATAATTATGTAAACTGATAAAAAATTAAGCAAAAAACATCAACTGAAAAAAAATATATAGCTGCTTCACTTTACTACAATACCATCTGCTACACTGGGTCTGTAAGGTTATAGCAAAGTATTTTATGCAGCACAGAGAGTTGAACACAGTAATACCACACTGAACCTGGGATGATCAAACACTGATGGTACCAGGAAACTCACAGCCAAGATGGAGATGTAAGGGAACAGATTTCCACAACATTGCTTATACTTCTCAGTCTGGAAATTTGAATTCTGATCTAGAAAAACTTTTAGCTAATGAAATGTACCGTATATTGGTATCAATTTGACTGATGATACAACAACCAGATCTGCCTGTGTTATGATAGGTGTGACTCTGTATCACCAGTTATATGTCCAAACTCTCCAGTCCGGGCGAATTATAAGTAGATGATTTACAAGTAAGCAAGGAATTGAGGTGTCTAGATAATTAAGGGTTCACTTGAGTTTCTGTTGATGTAACACTGATATATATCACTTTATTTTGTTGTGTGAAATTGCCTGGCATGAAGTAAAGAATTAACTCTTGCTATGAACTCTTCTATCAAACCACACCCACTCTGTGGAATTAGTATTTGGGTCTCTAGATGTTAAAGTGTTCATGTCTGATGCTTTATAGTTCCTCACTCTAATATTATTGCTATGGTAGAGGAGACAAAAGGTCACACATACACAACGTATTTTCCCCAGGGTCTCAAAAAAAAAAAAAAAAAAAACACACACAAATTGAATTGACTAAATAGCTAAACATGTATACTATTGCTAGACATAAGAGACAGAAAATCTTATGCTATCTAAATTGGTGTCATGGCATGTTCCACCTCAATCAAATTTCAGCTCTCTTTACAAGTTACTGCGATGACAGATCCACACATCAATTATTACTGTTATAGAAAACAATATACAGAATCTGCAATGAAAGCAGTTACATTTCAGTGCTGTACTATCAACAAGAATACCACTTAGATATACTGTATATTGTTTACAGTTATTGATATGACCATACATGACATAACCTAAATGAATACTTTATCATCTCATTGGGTAAAAATCTTCTTGTTTTTTTTTTTTTTTTTCAACCTGGCAATGATTTATAAGAAAAGAATAAGTTTACAGTTGAAGCAAGGAGCAAAGTTGTTTGGGAATTATTACTTGACATTATAGAAAGCAGATTGGTTCATCAATATTTTAGCTATGTGGGATATCAATCACAACAAGCTCAAAGTAAGTCGATTCTTATTATATTCATATTGTTGACCGGTTTTGCCCAGAATGTTGTGGGGTTTGGGTCCTGATGAATCACCCAGTATACATGTAAGGTATCCAAGCACCAATCACCCTGAACCTGTATCACAGTAACGGCGTCAGCTCTATTCCTTGATTAGTATCAATATTTTAAGATACACAGATTTTATTCTGTAAAATTCTCTGCTGTCTGTTCATGCGTATGGCTATTACCCATTACTTAGTGATAAAGCCCACCAATATCTGTCACTGTTGAGTGGAGTTCTTATTCATAGCTGTTTTACTGTTTTTCTGACCCCAGACTTTGTGTGAAAATGTATATTGTCATCAGGTTTGATCCCTTATTCTAAGTGAGAATTTGTATTGTTATCAGGTCTAACCCTTAAATTTTGAGTGAGAATTTGTATGTTGTCCTTTTACAGGAAAGATAGGTGACATTAGGATTGGACACATAATGCATGATGACCCTTTCCAACATGTCATTGTTCTGAAAGATGACTGGTTGTTACTGTACAGTTTGGAACTTCAGATCTTCAAATAATTACACAGCTGCTCATCTCCATTATAACGATGCACATATTTAACCAGTTATTATCTAAGCATCAGGAACTGTTAATTTTTACACCCCCAGTGAAGTAAGGGGGCAATTTGTGTCTGTGTGCGTCCATGATAACTCTGTCTACGTTAGATATCTCATAAACCTCTGAAACAATCTAATTCATATTCACACTATAGCATCTTACTGCCAATGTCTACACCTGTTAAGATTTTGGTGGTCATTGATTAGGGTTAAAGGCTAAAGGTCAAAGGTCACCCTTGACCACTTTTGAAATAAAAGCTCATACCAGATATCTATCTTGAAAACCTAAACATATAATTCAGATTCACAGCACAGCATCACAAACCGGTGTCTTAACCTGCATAGAATCAAGTGGTAATTATTCAATGTCAAGGTCAAAGGTCACCCTTTACCACTTTGAAAATGAAACCGTTGAGTACAATTCCCATAAACCCTTCAACAGGTTTAACGGTAGTTGATATTTGTAGCATTGCATGACAAGTTGTCTGCTGAAAGACTGCAGTAGTGGATGTAAAATCATTAAACAAATTAATTACATTTTAACACCAAGGTCTACACCTGATCAGATTTTTGTGGACATTGGTCAAGGTTAAAGGTCAAAATATGGGCTTTGGGAAAATATGGGCTTTGGGTATATATTTGTGAGCCTGTTGTGTTTTTGTTTAATCAAAATATTTCAGGGATATACACTTGTGGTTTATAAGATATGTAATCCCACATACAAGATTTCCAGTACAGGTATATATACTGGAAGTGGATATAAGATACCAATTCAGTAGGTATTATGAAGTGGCATCCTTAAGTAGTTAAGTCACTATAGAAGCTTGATATGGTGTGTATGTGTTGGCCACCAACTTCTATAAATGATTAACTAGAAAGCTTTTGTTTCTGATCCAAACCTTTGGGTGTATTTTTATACACACTGGATTTCAACTAAGGATCACTGTTCAGTTACAAGGACCCTGGAGGGGAAACTTAATTAAAACTTTAAAAAGTTAGAAATAAAATAAAAATGTTCATGCAATTAGGCAATAACATGTAACTTTTTGATATTAAGGATATCAAACAAATTTTCTCAGCTAGTTAAAAAATCTGTTCTCTCACTTTTTAAAAAAATCATCTCCCTTTTCTCCTTCAGAATAACAATTCATTCTTGTGGTAGTGAAAAACTAACAGATTTTGGCAGATTTCCATGAATAACAGTCAATAGATTTTGTTTTTTAAGTATTGGACTAGTGCATTTAATCCAACACCATATAACACACTGTGGACTTGCCTGTGTTATATAATGCCATCAAAATTGACGTAGCAGGAGATAGGCATACAATAAGGAAACCTGAGATTGGTCTTGTGACTTGGCATTCAGTGCATATTTTTTAAATATTTTTTTTCCACACAAATTTTAGGAGAGAAAACATCGGAATTTACTTGAGTTGTATTGCTGGATTCACATAAAATGGATTTAAGTGAAGTTGATAGATCATAATGTGAATCAACTACTGCACAAACTGTTGCCATGAGGATCCAGCCACTTCATGGTTCAGTGGCTGGGTAGAATGAAATCTGAATTTCTGAGACGATTTTGAAGGAAATATCTAGGATGGAGATTATTGTTTTCTCAAAATAACTGGATTATTATGGCTCAGTACATGTTTCGAAGTGCATGTGTTTCAAGTGAATAGGAAAACATTCTGAGAGAAAATTACACAAATATCAAAGAAATTGGATTTTTGAGATCTCATAATTCAGATTTCATGTTAATGTGAACTAATCATATTGAAAAGAAAATGTTTTAAATAATACTTGTTAAAGTGGCATTATTTAAGTTTATTGGGAGTAAAACATTCATAATTATCAATAAAAGTTTGGGTATTCAGGCTTATCGCTCAACATCAATTTACTTCATAAAATTAAAAAACAGAAGAAATTTAAGGAACCGTCTGTGAGGGAAACATTAATTCTTCTCATAAATATGAAATAATTGACTTAAACATAAAAAAAATTCACACATATGACGAAAGTTTTTTAACTCAATTAAAAATGTATTATACCATGGGAAACGGAGGTATCAAATTTAATGGAAGTGCTTCACCAGGAGTCACAAATGTACATTTACCGAAAGTATCGGAACAATCCCGTGTAACTTTGGTAAATGTTGCCTCTAAGGCAAACACTATTGTATCACCAGGTAAGATAAATATATATATATGTATGTATCTAAACTTTAGTGAAATTTATGATACACTGAAAGTATATCATGGTCGCATTGGGAAAAAAATGTGTTTTGGGTTCATGAAGATAATAAGGAAAGTTAGATTTCACTCAAAACTTCAAAATAAATACAATTATAAAATTTAAAACAAATTTCGTCTCACATCTTTTAATTCTAATCTTAAAATCTGTGGTGTAATTTCTACATATTTATTTGCAATAAAAGAATTCATTAATATTAATTTTGCTAAATATTTTAAAATCTTAAATTAGAAAACTTTCTGAAGATCGTACACCAGACAAATTTAGAATCAGATACAGCTACGAGACAAACATTGACCTAGACATCAGTGATGCCAGTAAGTGCCTGATTTGTTGAAGCTAAAAGGAAATAAAGAGGATTGAAATGTACATGTATATTGTGATTTAAGAAATCTCTTTTTCCAAAAAAAAAAAACTCATCAAAAACACATAATATTGCCGTATTTCTATTGGAAATACAATGTAGCTTATTCTGTTTAACATGAAATAAAATGGTCCTTAAATTCAGATTTGTTTTACTCCAAATCAGGGTGTGTTCGTATAAGACTTTGAAATAACATTTGCTTGTAATTTTCTAGAGCAGTAATACTGATGGATTGACTTTGAATTAGTTTTGTGAGAGAAATATTGATTAAAGTTGATCAGAGTTGGGTACAATTCTGTATTTAGTCCCTTAAATTCTCCACTGAAAATGATTCTGCTTTTATCACCAATACAATTCCTCTCCACTCTAGTTTAGAAACAAAACAACCTTTCACCAAGATTTTCAATTATAACCCTATGTAAACTGGGGGCTAACTTTGACAGATCTCAACACACATTGATTATTTGATAAGAGAGTATGATTTTTCGTGCAACTTGCCACAAAAGGAATTGTTCAATGAAATGGGCAAGTGTTTAAAACAACACAGCAAAGTTTGTAGATCACTCCTGGGCATAAGATATTGTATGCCATGAAATCTGTGCCCCATTTAATTTTTGCCCTTTCCATTCACAAACAGTGAGGGCAAATTTAAGATTAGGGCAAAAATTTGTCACAAATGTACCGGTATATCCCATTATATAATCCTCAAAGGTGAAATGAGCCAGAGGCAAATTCATTTATGATAGTACCTGGTACTAGGGCAAAAATAACCTGGGGTGAAATTATCCCTGTATACATATTACCTGTTTTCTTGTTCTAGAATTCAGTTGTCAATTAAGTACCATTTTTTTTTTTTTTTGCTTCACAACATTGCTCTTCTGAACAGAAAAAAGGGGTTACTTAATTAAGAATAAATCTTGGGAGCAAATATTGTCAAACACAATGTGTTAATTAGTCATTTTTAATGGAAGAAAAGATAATCTCTTTATAAAGTTAAATTTTCAAATATTTCATTGATATACAATGACTTTCTGAGGTTTTGGATATTTATAATCTGTTTTTAATCTTTTCAAATTATCCGTTACATGTTTACCAAAGGTAAATGACTTCTATGTGTTTGTAGTGAAACAAAAGCAAACCTTTTTTTAAAATGATATTTGATATCTATAAATGTATATATTTTTTTCCCAGTTTGAAAAATATGCTATTATTTCATTCAACAAATGTCAGGGCGTATAAAAATTCATGTAATATTCATTTTGCATATCATTGATATCATTGGTGAATTTAAACTTATCTTTTTGTTAAGTTCAAAATGACCCTTTTATCTTTCAGATCAGCTGAAAAAAGTGGAATATGTGCCAAGTATGAATGATATCAGGGTAAGTTTGAAGACTGATCTGAAATTCTGGATAATTTAGCATCAGGAGCTGAAAATACTATATATATAGCTGGTTCTTTATTTGGATAAAAATTTTCAGGATTTTCGTAAAGAAAAAAACCAACCAGAGAGTCACATTCTAAACGTTTAATATTTTGCTCTCTGGATGTAAGAGGATGATTCTGTAAATTTTCTTGAATATTAACTATTTCAGTTGTCAAACCTTAGACAAGAGATTGTTGATTTATTAGTAAAATATTAACAAGATACATAATAATGATAATTACTTATGTTTTCTGTGTCATTATCACAAATAACCAGCATCACATTCCATTTAATCCATTAAGTCAATTATAATTACCACAAATGCAATATCCTTGTGTTATTGGAGGCTCCACAAGTGACATTATTGATATCACAAAAGTCTTAAGTTATAAATATCATAGATGATATTTACACATGAAATCGGCAAGACCATAATCAGCTGATGTATATAATTGATAAAGACAAATTGGAATATTTGATTATGATTTATATCATACACAGGCACAAAGGGCTGTCAAGTTAAAATTACAGGTGCTAGAAAAAGAAGCAAGCAAAAGAATTGAGAAACAGAAAGAAGAAAAGGCAAGACAGGAAAAACTTCAGATGAAGGATAGAGAGAAGGAATTAAAAATGAAACAGAGGAATGAGGTACATAAAAGATTAATAGTTTAATTCAATAGATTAAATACATTGTGTTTGGTAATGATGGAAATTTCATTATTTAGTATCAAAAGTGTCTATTAATTCTAATTACTTAATCTTAATCTCAATACACCCAACACCTATCAAAATCACCTTTTCCCAAAAGAATTTCAGAGTGCTTTGTATAAATCTGTAAACCTGAATTGTACCATACATTATATACAACACTGTAAATACATGTATAAATAAATTAGCATTACATGTGGTAAGTCAGGTTGTCATTCAATCATGGAGCAAATATATTGTACTTTCATAACATAATTATATAAGATATCTTATTTGTCTAGTAAGACATATCTAATTTATCAAATTTTAGTAAATAAAACATTTGATTTACTAATTTATTTGATAAATGACTTTGAGTTATTCTTACATAAGTTCATTCTCAAAATTTTATTATATTTTCAATTCCGTTTTCCTGACTAGAATTCTATGTTGAGAAAAATTTCTTTAGTTAAAATGTTTGTGAAACTGGATGTCAGCTGATATGAAATTTACATTATGTATATAGACACGTATATTGTTTTGTTTAAACAATTTTGTTATTCTATTCCTCTTTTCAGATTTATGCTCTTAATAAAGCCATGACTGAGTTAGAACAACACAGGTTTCAGGAGTTTTGCTCAAAGAAGGGTATTGTAATATAACTTTTATGCTAGAAAAAAAGAATACTCAACGAATGTGGGCTGACCTTTGACCTGGTGATATAGATGGAATATGTGATAAAGGAATGCTGATCATGTGTGTAAAGTATTAACAGAGTGTCAGGAAATAATGAATATTTTAATGAATCCAGGGAACTTTTAAACTTAAAACTTTCAAAATGGTTTCAGATAATTATCAATTTTATTGTGATATTCAGAAACATTAAGATATTTTCAGAAATACAAATTCAGTTATGAAATAGTTATGACATTGTTGAGGTGAATTAGAAGCAAATCACCATTGAATTAGGAGGAGACACTTCTGTACAAAAACATAAAGCTTTCTATGTTGAATCTCAGTAATGACTGGTTAAAAACATCCTTGGTATTATGTGTATCGATTTCTGTTTTTACCACTAAACATGACAGTGTCATTAATGATAAAGACAATGAAAATTAGCTTACGTCTGTTGTTAATGATTGTGTATGTGTATGTTAATTACAAAAAATATCTAATTTCATTTGTATTAATGATTTGAATAATTTTTCTAATCTTTCATTTATTGCCATGATAAATACTGGTAGATGAAATAATTGCCAAATCATCCGTTTTGTAATTCAGGGTATGACAATGTTATTTAACAAATTTTCTCTCTATGACATAACATTATCAAAAAATGAAAACAAGAAAAAAACCCAAACAATTTGATATCATAAACAGCAAACATTTCAACAAATAATAGTAATATCCAGTTTCATAAGATGTATTACTTGGTAATGACAAGTAAAAATATGGTTTACCCATGTGAATATCATTTATGAACATCTGAACTAGCTCGGAAACCTTTTTTCATATTAGATACACTTCAACCTGTCTTAAGGACCATCTTTATACAAGCTACCTGTCTATAAGGACCACTTTTTTGGTTCCCTATGTAATATAATTCATAGTAATAGAACCTCCCCATCTATATAGGTGACCTGCCTATAATGGCCATTTTTCTCTGCTCCATTTAGTGGCCTCTGTAGACAGGTCTGGCTAATTTACGTCAAGTGAAACTGAATTAAACAGAAATATCAATAATTGTTACATTGATTATTAACATGTAAGGCATTTTCTTTATAATTGCACTGTGGAACTAATTGAAATTGAAGTACATTGTAATGATAAAATCAATATTAAAAAAAAAAAAAAAAATAAAAAAATAGACGAATAGGAACTCAGTCCTATAATCTGTAACTCAAATGCTTAACCATTTATAAAAGTAATATATCTTGCTTCGGAATTTTCTTCTTTTTTTCACTCATTAATTCAAAATGGCAGCTCAAAAATGCATAGTATGTGTATCTAATATTAGACTAAATAAATTCTTAAATTGTGGCTACATAGATATAAGCTACCTAAGATGCTCATAATTATATTTTGTTTATTATGGACATCATGTTTTCAAGTCTGAAACATTTTCTAAATCGGCCAAATCATTTTTAACTTCTTTAAACTTCTGCATACCAAAATTAACATACTGGTACCTTAATTGGTTTGCTGGCATCCTCTGTGATTGAAAAGCAAAACCTCATCGAAAAGGTACTGAAGACAGCAGAAAATTTTCAGTCTTCAAATTTGAGTGACTTTGAGTCACCAACACCTGCAGGCTTGTGTTACAAAAATAATTTACCAAATCTTAAACACTTTTGGAAGGATTTTTTTTAACCTTAAGATTATGAACTAATTTCAGGTAAAACATATTATCAAAGACTAACTTTTTTTAAGGAATAGGAATTATTTTATGTAATCTATGTTTGCCAAATTAGAGGAGGCTTGATTCAGAAATATGTCTGTTATTTTTTTAAATCAGATCAGTGGCTGTTTGTTTACTGTGTTAACTGGATTACATGAATGGTATTTTTGAAACTGTGTTTTATTTATCATATAAAGTCTTTTATATATATATTTTAGTATTTTTACAATTTCTAAGATTTTATTTTATGTGTTTTAAATTCAATGATATATTTATATATATATATGTTTTGGTTACAATTTGAATCTGAAGTATCAATGGGGTCGATGTACAGGTATAATTTTTTCCAGACAGTGATGTATAATCAAGTTTCATAGTCTGTATATCAATAAGATTTTCTTTAGGAAATTCAGTTCAGTTAAAATTACTATAAAAGTTATTTTTGAGTATTCTATTTATCACTGTTTTGAGAACACAACAAATACACAAAAAAAATGTATACTGAAATCAGAAACGAGAAAAAAACTGAAGTTTAGTTTTTTACTTTTATGAAAAATTTTATGTGCTGGCACGAAATTTTGGTAAATCTATTGTGAAACTATTGTTTCATCAGTATGCAGATCATGTGGTATGTGTTTATAATGCTTCTAACTGGAATGACTTTAGATTACCATAGATGCTGATGGGATGTTAAATGACACAGTTAAAACTCAGTTTTACTTCTGATTGGATTTGTGGTTATCAGTCATGTTACTTTGTTAAGTCAGACATTCAACACATGTGAGAACATTAAGTCTGAAATTGATGATAAAACAGTATCATAGTCAAACCTCCCTTAAAGACCACCTTTATACAAAGCCAACCTGTCTATAAAGACCACCTTTATACAAAGACTACCTGTCTTTAAAGACCACTTTCTTGGTACCCTGTGAAGTGTATTTCATAGTAATTGAATCTCTATATAAAGGCCACTTACGGCATCAAGACCACTTTTCTCTGTTTCTTTTAGTAGTTTCTAAAGACAGGTTTTACTGTAATTTCTAACTTTCAAAGTTAGGCAACTTGTAACTTATGTTTATATCAAAATATACTTCTGGTTAATCACTTATGGAATCCAGTTGAAGTCATGATTTTTTTTTCTTTTTTTCTATTGATAGGTTGTCTGCTGGGAAAATATAACTGCAATTTAGAAAAGTTTAGAAATTATTTATGTATTTAGAGAAGGCATATTATCAATTAAACATTTAACAGACCTTTATTTAAGATTTTTTCCTTGGGTGTAAAACATGGACAAGCTGAAAATCAATGTAATCCACAAACTTTCATTTTCCAAAACTATCACCAGTTGTTGTAAAAAATAAAGTTTGAAACCTGTGAAGGGAATCACAATATACTCTAAATATGTCACTGAAATATTTTTATGGACCGAGGCTGTACTAGTCTAGTAAATTAACAGCTACTTATGTATTAACACAATGTTATGAATATTCATATATATGTAATTTTTTATGAAAAATGTATGGCAAATTGATGTTTTCCAAAAACATGATAAATATGAAAGCAGCTAGGATCTATATGGTAGACATAAATGATTTTAGTTTTTTTTTATCTTTAAAGGATTTTCCTTGATATTGAATCAATCACAAAATAGTCTGTGATATAATATAGATTTGACAAAAACGTAAACAATTGTTTACATCATTTTGTTTATATATGTATTTATGTGAAGGAAAATTGCTACATCAGTGTTTGAAAGGATTTTCCTTTTGAAGGGAGGGCAACACTTTTTAATTGTTATAATATTGTTACCTATAGTAACCAGTGATTGTTTTATTTGAATGTTTGTGATTTTATCAAACACAAGGTATCTCAATATTAATTTATTTATTTTGAATAAATCAAGGTAAACGAAATTTAAATATTTACTTATACGATGAAACTTATTTGATAGCAGTTTCTTGTTGTAATTTATTTTCCTACTGGTTGGCTGCTATAGACATTAGCAAAAAAAAAGTTGCCTAACAAGGGACTGCACCCAGGCCATCAGATATTCAGTTAAAATGAAGTTTTGAATTTCGATGTTATCACGGTCAATTTTCAACTTTGAATATAATATCTTAGAAGAAAATGAATTTTTGAACATATATAAGAATTATTTTTGCTTTTTTAAAATTCTTGCCACTTTTGTTAAGTCACCTCAGAAACATATTGTTACCACCTGTAAATGCAGTCAACCAACAGAGAAATAAATTAAGACCAATTCCTGTGACTTTTTAAAAAAATGTTTTTAACGTTTTATTATAAGTGATAAAAGTTTATATTATGGTATTTGAATATTAATTATTATCATGTTTATAAAAGGCAGAAGTCAATTATTTATCAATATTATACTATGTTTTGTTATAAATAGCTATGCATTCTAGTTTAAGTATACGTCAAAGAATTGTTTTCAATTTTGAAACATTTTAACTAGTTCTTGTAAATTGAAAATGCATTTCGTTTTGATATACCATAACTAAGATTTAAATGAAAATCACTTTCTAGGAATTTTGCTAGTTTTCAATTTTATGTGTAGAAGATATGTGATACTAATTAGAAAGACTGTTACACTGCATTATATTAGGGAACTTAAAAAATTTAATATTGCCTAAACTCACCCTTGACCTTTTGAACTATTGAACTGGTTTCATAGATTTCACATTACATTAGAATTCATGCAGGATTTCATACAGTGTGTGTTATCTGGGTTAATCAGCCCTTGAACAGCCAGGGTCATTTTAGGTAGGGTATCCTTGTAGTAACAGGTGGTAATTACCTCACAGAACAACATACAGGAGGCCCATTGCATATCATCCAAATCAATTATGGTAAAGTGTCTTGGCTGCAAGGATACAACTACATCAACAGTGACAGGTCCCTTTCTCAACTTTCTGAGAAACACACACCACCGAGGGTTACTAAGGACGTAAGCATCAAAACACTATAGTAACTCTTTACTACATTAGGTCATAAGCTGATGTTACTGTTCCAACAGTGACTCAATATAACGTGACATTGATTCAAAAGATCTTCCCATGGGCCCCTTTTCTTGCTGATAAAGAAAATGTGCAAATTAAGGATAAGATGTGACAGTAATATACATAAATTCTGTACATTTTTATAAAGCAGTAAAATTACCATTGTAGACAAAACAGAACCCGAGTACACGTCAATACTTTTGTATATTAGGTCACAAGTAAGTGCTTAACTTGTCTTTTTACTGAAGTTCTGGGATTTGAATCTTTTGTTCTAAATCGTTAAATAACACTTGAAATTAGGAAATATATAAAAAAATTCTACTGTACCAGAGAGTCAGCTGGTACATTGTTGCTTCAAGGGTTTCTGCTGCAAATAACAAATAAAATCCAAGCAACTGTGATTGTACCAAAGTGTACAGTGCTTAAAGCCATTTAGAAAAGAAGTACATAACTAGTAATTATGTATTTAAAAAAATTGCCGATGATGGGAAGTATTTTTCAATTGTCACATTTCAATATTTTTTTCATTCATCAACATTAGGAAACATACTCTCTAAATTGAGAAGTATGATGTAAATTCTTCATCAAATGATAGATAAATAATAGTGAACTAATTCCAGGTGTTTTTTGTGTGTATGACTATGTGCTCCCCTCATGCCATCCCCCCATTGCCCCCCCATTGCCCCCCCCTCCTCTCCTTTTTTAATAAGAAAATCAGTATGCGCTCTCAAGTTTGCTTCTAATGTGAGCAGATGTATGATAGCAATATACTCCACTAAATGGAGTGTATTCCACAATTCATCTAAAGTGATAAATTTTACCTTTATAAGCAGATTTTAACTATAGAAAATAAAATACACGATATTGCTTTCTTCTCATTGCATAATGAAAGTCAGTGGGATATTCAGGAACAGATTTATCCAATACACAACATCTTTGGAAGTATTTTGGAGACTTTGCACATACATACTCAGTGTCTGTATACATCTGTATTTAAGCATCATATGATACATATATATACCATGTGGTTAAGATTGTGTGACCTTACGTCTTACCTGAAAGGCAAAAGGTCGTAATACTGGACGTAAAACAAGTAAATAGATAGATAAATTGTGTCAAATTGTTGTGAGTTATCTACCAGATTTATCAATCATAAATTGTCACGTTTTTTATGTCAAAGAGTAAATATATGTGCTATATTTTTTCTGCCTATAAATGTTTCATTTCTAGTCATACTGTCACCTCAACATTATTTAATTTCATTACAGCGATCTGTGATACTTGTACAATTAAGAATAAAATGGCTAATCATTTGTCAACTAGATGAATTTTTTTTGTCTTTAATTCTGCTTCATCAGTGTTTACCACTCAAACTGAAACTGTACCAAAACAGCTGAAAATTTTAACTTAAAATTGAACACATGAGAACAAATATGAACAAGAGTGATTTACAACAATGACAACAAGGAGAAACAGACATCAAACATCAAAGAAAATACTGACACATCAACAGAAATCTAATTCAAACTCAAATTCAATCAAACAAGGGCAAAATAGGAACAATTTAATTATTTACATGAATATTTTTTAAAAAATGCAAGTTTAATTGACCTAGTCTTCTGCTTCACCAAAGACACCTGCCATGTAAATCTTGTCAATCAAAGTAAGTAATGTCATGTTCCTAAAAGAGAACAAGGTTAACAACAACAGAACCTGCCAAGCATATTTACAAACATCAAACATGTCCAACTTCATATAACTCAAGGAAATAGAATATTCCAAAAGGTGATCATTATTATGATAATAAAACTTCCCCGTATCAGGCAGTAATCTTGGGAATAAACCCTTGGATATCAAATTATCCATAAAATGTCAACACCATGGGTTGGGAAAGCAGGGACACTACTATTCAGAGGTGGAAAATTCACAATAGGGAAATTGAATCATCACACCTATCATACAGGTTGGTAAACAGCTGTCCCTGTTGGTTTTGTTGTAGGAAGTTATGGTAGGCGTCCTCTGCTTCAATGACAATATCTGCTATAAAAGACGAGCATTGACCACTTCATCTCTGATTTCATATCATAAGAGGAAATAAAATTTATCCCAATGAGTTAAAAATTGTGAACGCATAAATTCCACATAGTTTCCATCACCCTGCATCTCTTGAAAGCATGTGTTGTAAATTGTCAGGTGACATCATCTTCATGGAAATTGTGAAACCATTTGTGACTTTTATTGGAATTGCAGCTTCAAGTGCAATTGATACATTCAATCATACACAGACATTTTCTGTCATCGATATACAACATCAATGGAGAACTAAATCACACAATGGATCTATTAGAGGCGTAGAAGTTAATCACAACAGGCGAAGAGGCTGCGTTCCTAGATTTAATGTTCTCATTGGTTTTGCTCTCTTGGGTTTCTTCAGGACACAATTTTACATAGAGATTTTTACACTAAAGTACTGAAAATGAGGAGACGTACCTCATTGTTGAATTATGGTGTCTAACTATGATACAAGAACCATAACTCAGTCACAGTTACTTTACTCATAATAAATCACAATGTTACGTGTATATTAAATTTAAAGTTCCAATAAAATACCATTTCCTAACAGTGTATCTATATATATATATATATATATATATAAATCTCTAATTAATCTCACCTAAGCAAACAGGAGAAGAAGATGGCCATTTACACATAACCAAATTGTCTATAATTGACAATGATACTCTTGGTACTAATTGTTGTTTTGGATCCTCCTAGAGAGGAATTAATATCACTAGAGCTATTACAGTGGTAAATCCACACAAAGCGTGTTTTCATTGACAATTTGTCAGGATTTAAATATGAAAAAAATGAATATTACATGTAATCAAATAATGCTGGCACCCTCTAAATGCTGGCTACTTGTCCTTATACGCGCTTGGAAAAAGAGTTAGAAATCTAGGAACTATCGAAGGACATATTTCAGAACATTTTCTCAAAATTGGTTATATACTGGTTATGGTCTACCCAAGACAACATTATTAATTCTAAATTGTAACTATACAGCGGCTGTTGACTAGGATGATATATTATGCTATGGGTATGTTGACTAGGATGATATATTATGCTATGGGTATGTTGACTAGGATGATATATTATGCTATGGGTATGTTGACTAGGATGACATATTATGCTATGGGTATGTTGACTAGGATGATATATTATGCTATGGGTATGTTTACTTTTTCAAATGAAATGATAAAAAAAAACTGCAAACAAATCATTTGTATCAATATAATTTTAATATCTTTCAACACATCCACAAGTATGGATACATAAATATTCCATAATTATTTCTACAAATTATTTTATACATACAATTTATTAAATAAATATCTATCTATTTTATTATATAAGATGAGAGGCTGACATTTTGACTATCTCAAGGAATGTTAATGCAATAAATCTAAATACAACTATTTGTTGCCTCCCCTAAAGTTACTTGTTCCTTCCCAAACCCTGTTGTGTCTATAAAGGTCAAACGCACTGTGCTGTGAGGCTGTGGATAGAGATTCTGTTGGCACGGCCAATCCAGGGACAGATAACTCTGGGTACTGTTTTTGAAGGTCAGGGGTAAATAGTTCCATCAGATCTGGTTCCTTCCTGTCCTTGAATACCTAAAACAAACCATGATACTTTTATCAACTGAGAGAGTTCTTCAGTTCTTTAATGAAAAAAATGTATCGCAAAGAAAACAACTTTATATTCATATCTATATCAAAATATATTTAATATAATAGAAGTTTTTCTGTCGGTTGAAGGCAAAATTTTCATCTGTTTTCTATTCCTGACCTGTTAAACTAAGTTTTTACAATCAATACTTTAGCAGTATGACAACTGCTTTCAATATTATAAAAGTTATAAAATTATTTTCTCTCATGACTATACAGTTGTTATCTCACCTAAGATTCAAGATGAATGATAGAACATGCAGTAGATTTGAAATATCTTTACAGTGATAACAAAATTACACATTTTGATTTCTTCAACAGTTTGTCTGTCTGCGAACAAAAGTCAAGCAAAAGAGCATGACACTCACCAAATTAATGCCATATACTATTTCCTGAATATATAGTGTATCAGAAATTACCTCTGGCCAGTAAAATTTATGTATGAAATGTATCACAAATGATATGAATCCTCTGCCAAGATGACAATAAAATTACTATGTAGATTTATTTACAAATGGTAATGTTGACACTGAACTGCCATGTATAAACCCTGAACTTAAGGTCTAGAAAGAAGACTGACGAGTGAAATAATAAATACCTGTCTTTTTTTCAAAATGTAAATCTATATCTAAGAAAACAAACTTACAAACCCACTTTGTCAGGCACCTCTGGCCAGTAAAATTTATGTACAATATGTATCACAAATGATATAAATCTTTCAATAAGATGACAGTAAAATTACCATGCAGATTTTCTACAAATGGTGAAGTTGACATTGAACTGCCATGTATAAACCCTGAACTTAAGAATTATAAAAAAAAAATTCTAGGTGGTTATCAATATTGTCTTTTTTTTTTAAAAAAAAAATCTAAATCTATATCTAAGAAAACAAACAAACAACCCTGATGATTGAAAATAATAAGAAAGAGAAAAATGTCTAAACTGACACACTCAAAAATACTTACCATTTACTCAATTTTCACTAGTACTGTAACTGCAATCTACAGCAACTTGATCAAACAAACAAAATACAGAAGTAGACAAACTTGGAATGTTTGGAACTTTTCTGTAAATGCCTGGATATCTATACCTATTATGGTAGCTCAGTACTTACCTGTGGCTTGTATACTTGACTTGGTTTCACTCTTTCTGTCTTTTCCTTTTCTATCTGAGAGCATAAATTGTCCACAGGTATGTGTAGTGATACGAGACCTCCAAATTCCTCGTCAACTTGGTTCACTCGTGATGCAGCCTAGAAACCAAAAGTTTTCATTTAAATAATACATTAACATATTTCATTATTGGTTTATCAATCCCATTTAAATTACTGTCAACATCAACATTTTAGTGGTGATCCTATTTTAGCACTTTTCACTGAAATCATTGCGCTAAAATATAATTGTGTTAATTGGTGTTCCTGTATGTTGCAGAAATTATTGTCAGTGTACAAATTTATTTTTGTTTTAATTTGTCAAAAAGTGACAGTGTGCTTAAATCTGATTGTGCCAAGTATATATATTTACAATATGAAATTGTGACAGTTTCGTGAATGCAGTAATTTTTGTAGAATTTTTTCAGGAAAGTTCAGCTATGACCAGTTCAAATCAATTGGCAGATAATACCTACATGCATATAAGTAAACAGTACTGAATATCATTTGTTTTTTTATGTCAACTTTGTTCAAGCTAATTAAAAGTCCCATCTGCGAAACAATAATGCGATTAATTTCAAACAATATATACAGATGTTTTAAAGTTGGATGGTTATAAACGAAAGGAATTTACGTATTGTAAAAGACATTGTGTAATTTCTAATGTTCCATCATTCACAACTTTGAAATTTAAGTAATGTTAGTCATAACTACAACAAGCATACATGTACTCTAAATAAATTTTTACAGGTATGAACTTTCAATTAATATGTGAACAGAAACCCTTTCTGTTTATAAACAAATGCCCCAGCAAAAAAAATATACTGAAAACAAGAGGATATTTCCCAAAAATAGAAAAACTTTCATCCAAAACTGAGCTAATTAGCTTTAATTTCACTTAATATATTGTAAAATTGTGAGACCTTGATAAAGACATATCAATCTAACCTCAAAATTTGTTACATTTGGTTCATGTAATCTTCATTTATATCACATTTTATGTTATCCCCTTTTGCATTGGATTCTGACCAAAACGGCTGTTAAAAATTTCCGTATTTCAAAGAAGTAAAAAAAATTCCATTTAGAAGTCAATAAATTCCCTTTACCACAATGGATAGTATTTCCCAAATTCTATATTAATCCATGTCCTAACCTTTTCTCTTATCTCTGTCTGTTTCTTGTTCGATGTTTGCAGTTTGCGTTCAAGTGCCTTCTGAACATCAACCTCGCTGCCTTTGATATGTTCCAACTCGGTCCGCATCCTTAGCGTACTATTATATTCCGGCCTTGTAAACACATGTTCATACTCTAATGCTGTCTCCCCTTCTTCGGAAAATGGAAACTTATAGTCATTAGATAACAGATCATCCTTCGACTCTCTTGTCACCCTCACTTTTCTTTTTGGCACTGCTGTGCTATATTCTACCTCTGGTTTGACAGTCTGCTTAAAATTTTTACCACTGCTGGGTGCTGTTTGTTTTGAATTTTCACTTAAAACTTTTTTAGAACTCTTTTTACCTGATTTCTTAGTTTTGATTACAATATCTTTCCCAGAAGAATTATCTTCTTTGGGTAAAACAGTCGGTAAGACAGAATATTTAGTTTCAGCACTTTTATTTGTTGGAGGCACTTTATCTGTGTTTGTTCCTAATGGCACATAAACAGTTTGTAGATCATCCTGTCGTATGGTATATTGTTTAGGTTTGCTAGATGATTCTGAAATTCCACCATCAATATTTCCACTTTCACTGTAAGCTGATGGTCTGTACGTTTTGCCAGGTCCACTGGTTTTTCCTAAACTGTCATTCAAATTTTCCTTATCAGAATCACTTAGACTGTTTTCCAACTCAAATCTGACCCTATGCTGATTTTTGGCTTTTAAAAGATCTTCATTGTCATGTTTCAAGTTACTCTTCTGAGCACCCCCTAACTGTTTTTCTGGAGTTATACACAGGTCTGGGTCTGGACCTATCAAATGTTCTTGTTCATGCTGTTTTGGAATGGGATACATTGGTTTATGACTCTGCTTTTGATAGGTTGAACCCTTATCAGGTGAAATACAGAGAGATGGATCAGGACCAATCAATTTTTTCTTTCCTTTCCATGGTGCGGGTGCCTGACAAAGTGGGATTGATTCTTCAGAACTTTGTGATGTATCCCAACCAGGAGGAGGGAATCTGGTGTGTGCTTTATCTCCTAAATTCAAGACTTCATAGCTTGAAACTGCCCCATGTGACTTTTCCACTTTCTGCACCAGAGGGTACTTGTGGGCAAGGGGCTCTGTAGGCTGACAGGCAAAATGAGTGGCCATGATAGTTTGATAAGCCTTCTTATGAATTCAAAGCGATTTCTGTGCAAACGAAAAATAAAATATTCGGTTAAACATTATTGAATGTCAAAGATTAATGCATATAACATATATAAATTTATTATTATCACAAATAATGCAATTATGCTCAAAAAAAGTTTCACAATTTTAACTTTACCAAAAAGGGAGGTGGTAAAAAATTTTGATATTCTTGTATGCAACTTGTATAATTGGAATTTAAATACTGCAAGGGAAACAACATAGCTGTATGTTTTTGTATTTTTTCAAATGTGGTCCTATGCATGGTACTGGATGCTGCTATAGAAACTAGATCCTCCTGGAGAGGCTAAGGGGTCTCTACCCCTAAAAGATGTAACTAACCCTTTCTTTTTATACATATTCCCATATTTTCATGTACTTAGGGAGTGCCATTTTTATTTTTGACATTTACTAAAAAAATGAACAGGATTTCTCCTTTAAAAGCCCGAATGAATGTGAATAAAATTCTAAGGGAGATAATCCTTTAAAACCAAACACTTCCCCGAAGGCATCAGAAGCTCAAGCCTTCAAAATACAATACAGATATATGCACAGATCTCTCATATGTCTTAAGCAATAATTTGAAGTAAATGCGAACAAAATAACTTGTCTTTTAGTCATAAATACAACGTTGTATGTTATTGTAAAGAAACGTAAGAAAAATGACATTTCATTACACGATTACAAGTTCAAACTTGAAATAAGGATTTAGAGACTCAACAATGTAAATTACGCGAATGCAGTACCAGATCCTCCCAGTAAGGATGCTTGTTGAGCATAAAATTATATATCTCGGTCGTTGATCAATATCATAATGCATACCTGCGTAGGTTTACTGCATAAATGCGTTTACGTTGTTCAGGTCATGTTTCTACCGCCGCCACTGCGAAGTAAACACAGGAAGTTGGCTGTTGTGACAGGAAATTCATTTCACGCATGTGCCAACTTACGTAAATACTGAAATATGGCCACTGCAGCACTAACGAAACTTGCTCCCGCAAGAAAAGCTCTGGTTCAGCTATGTCAGGTAAATTTCAGAAAATATTTTAATAATCTGTTGATAGAAATTGCATTAATTTGAATTAGCAAATTTGTCAAAAGCACATGACAGGTAGCAAATGTGATCAAATCTAATGTTTTTTTGACCTTGTGGAGTAAGGAAACCGAATTCGAACCGATCGAACGGGGGTCATCATCTGTCGGTAACATAGAAGGGTTTTTTCTCCAATCTCTTGGTTGTAGCTATATTGAAAGCGTGTGTATACGTACTGGAAGTAATGTAATTTTTGGAGCAAGAGTTTTATGTTTTATATAGAACTGATACTGAACACTGAAAATTGCGTAAAAGCCTTGCATAAACGTTTACGCAAGTGCTTGCATAAGCGCATATATGGCACTTGCGTAAGTTAATATCACGAACTTCTATATAGATCTTTATCTTAGTCCGTGGTTATATCTTGTGCCCAAGACTTCCAAATTACATATCGAAATATTTCGTTCCAATGTTGCTCTGACAATCGCCAGCAAAAAAAAAAAAAAAAATCCTGCAACATTCGTTACAGATAAATGATCACATATACACCAGGGTAATATCTGCCTTCCAGTTCTATTCCTAAGTCGGTTTGTTTTGATGTTACTATGTATGGTCTTGGGTTAACATGTGTTTTGTGCATGGAAACTGCTTAATTCAAGATTGTTTTACATCTCAAATATAGTTTAGCTAATATTATTCTGTATAGAGATAAACTAGAGATTTTTGAAAGAATTCTTTCAAACTAAAAACATGTCTTATGGTTATAAGTGATTCTTGACAGGAATAACCTGAGATGTGATAGACAATCTAGTAACACTTCCAAAATATCTTGAGACTTTTTTCAACCTTGAAATATCAGGGGTTTGATATAATATTGTTTTGATATTTGATTGCATCTTTTCTTACACACAATGGTTACAATAGTATATATTTGTAAGCACTTTATTGAAACTGCCAGAGACAATACATTTAGATTGTGTTATTTTCATGAATTCCTTCTTGAAACTTAATAAAACAACCCAATCTTGGAATGACTGTATTTAAGAATATTGAGTGCGACCCTTAAAATACAGCTATTTTGATAATAAGGAAAACCTAAGTAAGATTGCATTAAAGTGTGTGTTAATGTGTTATTGCCTCATGACCAGATCTCATTTTCTATACATGTACTTTAATAGACAAGATGTGCACAGACAGCAGCAGCCGCAGCAACACAGGAAGAACCTAGATACAAGAAATTTAAAATATACAGATGGGTATGTACAGTTGTCATTACATTAACCAGAGCTAGGTTGCTTTTGATATCAGATTGAATTATGAGTTTTACTAAACATTATAAAAATGATAAATTTCATCATTAATTTTATTATATAAAACATTAAATGTTATTTTTTTTGTGGTTCAAACAGACTTAAATGCAAGTTCATTTCAAACAATCATTGATAATGAAAACAGTGGAATGGTACTTTTTACTTGTGTGTCTTCTTCAAGATTTATGAATATATGATGGGTACAAACACTTAACACAGTGTAATGAAAGGTTAAGTTGACATCAGAATAAAATGTTGTTTCCTGGTTTTATATTGATATGTTACACTAAATATTCATATTTACTATGAATGTTCACTGTTCTTTATTGGTTTTTGTACGATTTGTGTTACAGGACCCCGACAAGGCTGGAGATAAGCCCACACTGCAAGAGTATGATGTTGATCTCAACAAGTAAGTGATCATGATAATGTCCAACATTTATAGAAACAGTGATCAATCAACATTTAATTTTCAAGGGTCCTTTTCAGATTTATTGCTAAAAAGCATGGGTTCTACAATGTAAAAATTACATATTTCTGGAAATTCTTTAAAGTCTGATGAAAATTCTTTGAGTATAAAGACTCAGGACTCAATGCAGATTTATCATTGTAAATATGGAGTCTAGCCCAAGCTATGTCTGCCTACTAAGCCAGATGTCTTGCATCATATTAACTTGTAAATACCTTATGCATTGGTTAGATAATTTATTTGCTATTGATTGTGTCTATGTACCTAAGCGAGTTTGTGTAGTTGCCTTGTCACTTGCTTCAGTTTTAGTGAGTTGTTGCTGGACGAGTAAGAGAGAGGAAAACTATGATTCAAACACTAGTTGAAAAAAGTCCTAAATCCTACTTTTTTTGTCACATGAAAATGTTAAGTAACTATGGTGGCACACTTTCTTAATATACTTTTAATGAATTTAATCAATTTCTTAAATGTTTTGCTCACCTTACAAAATATATTAAAATATTCATATGAATCTTGATTTGACAATTTTTTCAACTGGTTATTGTTGTAACTACTGAAGGAAGACAATTCTGAAATTGAAATGGTCTTGCTTTTTACTTACTTTCCAGATGTGGTCCCATGGTACTTGATGCGCTGATTAAAATAAAGAATGAGATTGATCCGACGTTAACCTTTAGAAGGTCATGCAGAGAAGGAATCTGTGGTTCGTGCTCTATGAACATCGGAGGAATCAACACTCTAGCTTGCTTGTGGTGAGTTAGAGAATAACCATTTGTCAACATAGAGGTTTTGTTATGATTATCTCAGTTATTTTATATTCACAAGTTTAAGTTCACAAGGTACATTGTTGAATTTTTACTGAAGTTACTAAAGGTTTTCATTTTCAGGTTTTTTCCCACACATGACCAGAGTGAATTTACCACAAAATTGTTGAATAAAGTAATCAAATTAAATGAATGAATAAATAAATTGACAAATAGATCAAGAAAAGAAGACATTGACTTATCAGGATTTAAAACTGTCTTTCTAATTAAAGTGTAACTGTAAACCTGATTTTTTTTTACCACAACTTTGAAAAAGCTCCAGAGTCAAGTGTACGAAGAGCAAGCCTAAATGAACGAGAAAGTTAGTCTTTAATATAATGTAGATTTGAAAATTTTTATCAATGAAAATGATTGTACATGATTTCATTTTGTAGTAAAATTGATGCCAATACCAGCAAGGCCCTGAAGGTGTATCCTCTGCCACATATGTATGTTGTGAAGGATTTAGTACCGGTGAGTTATCACTTTAAGTTATTTCCATGATGAAAGTACTCTTGTAAAAATTTTCAAAGTAGAAACTTAAATTTTTTTAAAGTGTGCAAGTTGTGTGAGTATTGTTTCAAATCACACATTGTGCTACATCTAGTTTCATGTTCTTCGTAAGCAAAAAGTGTGTTAAAAAAACCTGTTGTATTTGAAGTTCATGTTTACCTTGTAGGTCATACATTTGTGATCAATATATTATTTTTGGTACATTTTAGATGTCAAAATATATATTGCTGACTTTTTTAGGCTGATGAAATTCTCTCTGGTATTTCTTCCCCTCACATACAATATTAAATTCCCCTTTGTGCTTAAAAAAGAAATACATGTAATAGGTCAGAGTTGGTGAGAAAAAATGTAAAATATTCTTGATTTATACACCAAGTAATGCATTCTGTAATGTTGTTGGATTTCATGGTGCTAATAATTCACAATTGTTTCAGTCTGGGCAAGTACACATGGATTTAATATTGTACATGTTTCTTATGTTATCTTTCCTCTCAATCTGTCAGTTGTTGTATTGTTGAAATGAAAGTTTGTCAGTGTTCTTATGACTTCATTTTTAGTGATTTTCATCATACTATACATACTTATTAAGCATGAAAATATTTTTGGCAAGTCATTTTGTTTATTTTCGAACAAAATAATTTTACAGTCTGATTGCTGTTATTTCAGGACATGAGCAACTTTTATGCCCAGTACCGTGCCATAGAGCCCTATTTGAAACAGAAAAGTGTAGAGAAAGACGAGAGTCAAATCGGAAAGGAACAGAATCTACAGTCAGTTAAAGACAGAGCTAAGTTGGTGAGAATTCAGACTTTCATAACATTCAATGTTATCAATATCTATAAACTGCAGTCAAACCTGTCTGTGAAGACCTCTCAAGGAAGTGGCCCTTTATATACAGATTTAGTCACCATGAATTGCATTACAGAGGGAACTGAAAGTGGCCTTTACAGACAGGTGGCTTTTGTATAAAGGTGGCTTTAAAAGACATGATTGATTGTATCATCATTTGTATCATTGATCTGTCACAGTGGCTGCTCATTGCTATATTATTATTATTGTTATTTCTGGACATTATAGAACGTGTATGACCAGCATGGGATGGTTGACTGTTAAAGATTCTCCTTTAACATTCTTACCATTGATTTTGACATTTTATTATATACTTGTTAAAATATGTGTTCACAACTTTCCCTTTGGTCCTTTTATAATTAATGGCAACTTTAAAGATTAATCAGAGGACAAGATGATCTTGGCCATGTTGTCATTTTGATGAAAATGTTGAGATATCAATAGGAATATGAAAATTTGGAGTCATATTTGTAAAATGTGTATAGTATTTGAAATCTTTATGATTTGATCTTTCTTAGGACGGTCTGTATGAGTGTATACTCTGTGCTTGCTGCAGTACCTCTTGCCCCAGCTACTGGTGGAACTCTGATAAGTACCTCGGACCAGCTGTATTGATGCAGGCATACAGGTAAGTGGTTTTACCTCTTATGTCTCAACCGACCCGTATTTGTTTTTTGACCATAGATTTATATCAGAAGAAAATTAAAAATGTAGGGGAATTGAGGAGTATATGTAAATGTAAGTCCCTGATTTCTTGGTTCTGTTGGGATGGAACATTTTACCAAAGGGTCAGGTATGAAGAATTACTGAATTATTACATGACTATTATAAAAGATTTAAAAGGTTTCCAAAAGCTTGATTTTAAATTCATCTGTTTGACAGTTTTATGTATTGATGTGTTTTAGGTGGATGATAGACTCGCGTGATGAGTATCGACAGGAGCGTTTACAGATGATGGAGGACTCTTTCTCTGTGTATAGGTGTCACACTATAATGAATTGTACAAAGACATGTCCAAAGGTAAATCCATACTAACACAAGGTTCTTATCTAATGTGCTCTGAAGATGTTTACAAGCTAATGAAATTCCAGAATTTATTGGGGAAAAAATCAACTTAGTAGACCCTTGTTTTTGCAAGCCATTCAGTTCAAAGCAATATTGAAATTAAAACATCTACTTCTCACAAAGTTTTCTTCATCCATACACAAGATCAGGATAGCTGCTGACTATACAAATTATTCTCTACCAGTCTTGCCCTATACAAGTATAGGGGGCTGGTGCACTAGATTTGAATAGTCTTTCTTTCTTTCACAGAAAATTTGGCATGCAAGTTATTATCTTTTGTAATAGTAGAGCTTAACATATTGCAGGGGCCACAATAGCTCAGTTGGTTAAAGTGTACATAACCTCGGGTAAAAATCAGAGGTATGAGATTCAACACTCCCAACCTGTAGTGGTTTGTGTTGCTCAGGAAGCTGGGAAACATGCCAATCTGTGATGTTATGGCTCTGTCCTTTTGCAAGACACTTAACCCTTATTGCTCAGGATGGCATTCAACACGTTTCACATAGTGTTGGATAATTTCATATGTTAATTAATTGCTATTTGATATATCTGAGAAACAATTTGCTCTTTTATGATTTGACAGGGTCTCAACCCAGGCTTGGCTATAGGAGAAATCAAGAAGATGCTTGCACAGTATAACAACAAAGCTTAGACCTACAAATTACAGTGGATTCTGTATCGTTGTGATATGCTGACCAACAAAATTACAATGGGTGCTTTGTCATTGTGATATGCTGGACCTTTTACCCATCAAGAACTTCGAGATACCCTGGTATGCTTAAAACTGTGTTAAAAGTGCTCTGGCTTTTCGGGAAGGCATATGACTGATTAGAAAATAAGGAATATGATAAACCTGTTTTGCTGCTACAGATTCTACAGAACTAAGATGCAGTAGAATATTTCGTAATTGTTTGTGGCAAAGAGAAAAAAGGAAAAATGGTTTGGGAAGAAAAAGACATTTTTCACAAATTTTTTTCAAAATGAGACAAGATTGACCAATTTATTGATTAAAGGTTTGATGAAATTGATCATACATACAAAATTAGTAAGATTTTGAACATTTTGAAATATCACAGTAGTTGTAAATGAACATCGTCAGCTCAGAATTATTGTTTCTCTGAAACTCTTATTTATGTATACACTGTTTTTTTATTATTTTGAAAAAAGAAAATGATGTAATATTATTGCAAATAAAAAGTTTTATGGAGGCTATGTCTTTGTTTATTCTTCGATTGTTATCAACTTTCATAATGATGTGACCTATAGACAGGACTCAATAAGGATGTGACCTATAGACAGGACTCAATAAGGATGAGACTTATAGACAGGACTCATTAAGGATGTGACCTATAGGCAGGTCTCGATAAAGATGTGACCTATAGGCAGGTCTCGATAAGAATGTGACCTATAGACAGGACTTGATAAGGATGTGACCTATAGGCAGGACTTGATAAGGATTTGACCTATAGGCAGGACTCGATGAGGATGTGACCTATAGGCAGGACTCGTTAAGGATGTGACCTATAGGCAGGACTCGATAAGGATGTAACCTATAGGCAGGTCTCGATAAGGATGTCACCTATAGGCAGGACTCAATAAGGATGTGACCTGTCAGCAGGGATTAAATAGGATTTGACTTACATGCAAGACTCCGTATGGATGTAACCTCGATCAGAAACACCGAAGTTGTCAATTTCTAGTCTTTGAGATGTTTCTTTTCTTTTCAGTTTAAACTGAATAGTTCAAAGTGCCAAAGAGTTATTTGCACAATATATATATATATATTGTTAGCTGGTTACTATGGCAATACAATTCCATGTGTGTTTCCAGGGCAACAAACTTTTTCTGAGCTTGAATGTATAATCCCTATGCCAATTTCTGCTTGATCGGATAATATTTTAATTTCGACCTATCAAAACCTACAGTGTCTTGTTGGAAATCTGACAATGTAAAGTGTTAAGCTATGATAAGTTACCAAATTGCCAAGTTAAAATAAAATCATTGAAAGGGCTGATGAGTTATTGCCCTTTATATGAAAGCCAATGTAAAGTGAGCATGTTACCATGAAAACTACCACATCAAAATTGGTTGTCGAGTTTACAGAGAGTCATCAAGATAAGATTTGATGACAGACTGATTCCTGTCTCTTTCAGCTTTAAACTTTACCTCTATCACAAAATGTTTATGGTCAAAATATCACTGTAAATAAGGATCAGTTAAATTGTTGAAAGCTCCTCAAAACCAATTTCATAGATAATAAAATTTCAACAAAGGACAATATTCTGTAATTCAGGGGTCGCCAGCTTTGATTTCATACACTGTAAATTGTTGTATTATTAACAAATGAATCAATGCAAGCAATTTATGTTCCAGATTCGAAATTTTAGCAAAGGTCATAAACTCTGGTATTCATGGGATTTAAGCCTTGATCTTGTACAGTGTGTTTTGTCTTAGTAAGACCAATGTATACACAAAGTTTCAAAATTATTGCTTAACTGTTGCATAGTAGCCCCAGCCTAAAAGGACAAAGCAATAACTGTATGTTCCCCTGAAACTGGCAGTCAGTTGATAGGAAACTTTTCTAAACCTTTTGTTTTCTCATAGACAAGTCAATGGTCTTGTCTATACATACAATAAAAGACAATTATTACTTTCAACTTTTCATTTAAACAACTTCTTCTGAAATACCGAAAGGCATAGAGATATCATATTTTGCTGGAAGGTTCCTTTGATGAAGCCAAACAAAGTTCGCAAAAAGAAATGACCTTGACCCATATTCAAGGTCACAGAGGTCAAATGTGTTAAAACCTTTAAATGACTTCTTCCAAAATACCGGAAGGTCTAGAATCATTATATTTGGTTGGAAGGTTCCTTTGATGAAGCCCAACAAATTTTGCGAAAAAAAATAACCTTGACCCATATTCAAGGTCACAGAGGTCAAATGTGTTAAGACCTTTGTACGACATCTTCCAAAACACTGGAAGGCCTAGAATCATTTTATTTGGCTGGAAGGTTTTCCTTTGATGAAGCCATACAAAGTTTGTGAAAAGAAATGACCTTGACCAGTTTTCAAGGTCATCGCAGTCAAATATGTTAAAATGTTTAAACAATTTCTTCTGAAATATCAAAAGCCTAGAATCATTATATTTGGCCAGTATTTCCTTTTATGAAGTCCAAGAAAGTAAAAGAAATGACCTTGACCCTTGTCAAGGTCACAGGGGTCAAATGTGTTATACGTGGAACATATCCACATATATAGTAATGTTGGTCATAAAGATCCAGGTGAGCGATACAGGCCCTCTGAGCCTCTTGCTCTTTATAAAGTTGGATTTTTCCCCATTCTTTTCTTTTCTCTCTGTTGTTCTGAATCATATGAAGTTCGAAAAAATAAATATTGATAATGATCTTAAACTGCTGAATCTATGATGGCTGCCTGTTAGTCATTTTTTATTCTGATCAGTTCCAAAATCAAACAACACAACAAAGGATCATGGGGAACCGATGTATGAAATTTAAGAAAGATATATCCAGTGCTTCTCAAGAAATAGCAATACCAACTTTTCTTTGTCAAAAAAGATGGCTGCCTGTCGCCCATAATACTTTTCATATCAGCCCAAGGAACCAAGTGGAATCTACACATGAAATTTGAGACCGATAATAGTTGGCTGAAAAAGAAGTCATACAAAACATCATCTTTAACAAGTTTATTGAATAATATTTTTTGTTATAAATATGATAAACATAAACTTTAAGAGAGAAGAAAATAGACATTTCACATAGAAACAATAGTAATGGGAGGAATCACATTTCTACTTTTAACATTATTGAGTAGTTCCTTTCAACATGACTTCACATGTTAAATATATCATAACTATACATACAGCATGAGGCCTCTCTCAGTTCAATCAAATGTCATCTTTTTAAATATTTCATGAAAATTCAATGTGCGTAGATGTAACTGTAAATCTGGCTATTATTTCTGGTATCACTTTCTTGCAGTTGAATAATTAAACAAAGCAAAGTGGGAAATCTTCTTGACTTTTTCTTCAGAAAACTTTATCAGATGTGAGAAAATTTCGTCAACATTACTACTACATTGCTGACTTGACATTGGTAAAAACAGGTAAAAGCAGGGAAAATTCTGACTTATTTCATTGAAGATCGCAGAAAAACAGATACCGGAAATGCATGAAAAAAAAAAAAAAAATGAGAGAGAAAAAAAAAGCACCTTCACAATACATGCATCATAATTTCACATGTCATAAAGATATATCTATGTAATCATTCTGTACAATACTTTCACATGTCGCCATGTAATGTCATAATCTTATCAGCAGGTAGTCATATCACCACACAAAAACAGGTGCTCGTCATAACTCTTTAACGAAAGGCTATTAATATATAATAGATTTATGTATGACTATGTAAGCTTGAGGAAAGTGTTGAGGTGATTCACCCGACTGTCAGGACAAATAAATACAAGTATACACAACAACACAATAATTTTATAAAAATACAGACCTTGTCACTGTCCCTTTCCGAAGACCAAAAATTGAAATAATGTTACAAAACATACTTAACAGAAGTTTTCTCAAACTTCCTAAACTGACTTTCTACACTGATAAACTGATTCAAAGTGTTTCACATTTTGTTTTGTAAGGGAGGGAGTGGGAGAACAATTTTCTGTCTCCACAGTTCTAATTAGTACTTTAAATGTCAATAAATACACAAAACCTAATCTGATTAAATGTAGAACTTTGTGTTATAAAATAACGGGGTAAACATGAACCAAATTTGTAAAGAGACTCGGAAATTATGACACTGATTGAGAAAAGGAAGGGACAGACAAACATGGGTAAAATTATTTGACCCCAGCTCACCTCCCTATCAAATAACGGGGGCGTGACAATTTACAACAATTAGTCCCAGTAACTGTGTGTACAACTATAATAAGACTTACGGGTGATATCTACATTTGTTACTCTTCTTTATATTACGATACAAATCACAGTGATATGAGCTCAACTAAAGCTATTATTTCAATATATCGCCAAGAAACATCTCCATGAAAATGACATGAGCAAAATTTCTCACACTGAGTCTGTCATGTACAAGTATGAATTTCAGCTGAAGACTTTAAGAGGCACAAAATATGACATTGAGTAAAGTCAAAAGCTGTCAGCAATTAGTCATTAGGTGTTAACACACAAAAGATCATCCATAAAAAGTACCAAAATATACATGGGAGGTAGGGTAGTTAGTCCTAATTCCTGGAGACCAGAATGAACACTTCCTCTGCTATCAGACATACAGGTAGAATATACTGTACAGAGACCTGGCTTCAGGAGTATTCATTTCTAATTAGAGGGCTCTGTTTACCACTAGGAATCCTTGCAGAGCCTAGTAGATGAACTACAACATACATAAGACATATACTTAGGATTGTCTCCACTTGAATATTTTTCTCTGCTAGTTTCTACAGTTGGGTGCTAATTAGCAATTTTGAAGGGGTCAGTGGAATTGATTTGCTAATTCATTCCCTTGTGTACTGTAATATGCGAAATTCATGTGAGACTCAATTTTTGTGATTTTCAAAAAATATCACTATTTTGTGGACATTTGATTTTGTAGATAAAGGTAGCCCAATATATCTACCTATACTTATTTCATTGACATATCAAAGCACATATTAAGAGTGAAATTATTGAAATAAATCCCCACAAAATTTAATGATATTTAGTCAGTAAATTTTTTTAGAAGTTTATTGCAGCAAATATTCAAAGTAATTATTATTATTATTTTGTGTAAGTTATATAGATAATTGCCATCTACTAATCATCAGACATGAACAGTTATTTCCCCTTGTTTCAGCTCTTTAATTATAACATTGAATCTTGAAGCACAATTAGTAGGTGGTTCAGTTTCAAGACACGGGCTGAGTTTTTAGGTTAATGGTGTTGTCCTGCTAGAATTATTGAATGAATATTAAGTCCACTTTCATTCTGATATACATTATATAGCCAGACTGGCTTCTCTCCAAGACAAAGGTGACACGCTGGCCAGTTGACTATGTTGCATAAATAAATCCACTTCCTACTTAAGTTAGATACACTATGTTGCCAGTTTGGCTTATTGCTCAAATTTGTCAACTCACGAAAAGTCCCTGCGATACTTTTATAACTCAGATAAAATGTTGCAGCCACAGGCTAAAA